ATCTTATGTATTAATGGGTTTATTTTGTGTATAGTTTAATGATGATTAATGATGATTAATGATGAAATTTAATGGGATATATCATTGGATAATGGTGGTTAATGGTGATGAATGGTGATATAATGTCAACTCCGGATTAATAAACCATGGTTTATGAAAATTGTGGGGGTACCCTCCAAATAGTCACAAGATTATACATCAATGGGGGATACCAATTAAACAGTCCAGGGGTTTATTAATCCAGGGTTGACATTAATATATATATATATATGTCCCTCGATATCCCTTCAAATGGTTGGTAAAGATCCTTAGATGAGTGGTAAAAAAATATACATTTCACTCGGTTTACCAGCGGGTTGAGCCCTGGACCGAGGCAGCACTTTCTCCTGGATGGCGATGTCGGGCCATGACGATTGGAAATTCCCGAACTTTACCCTCTGGTAATGACTAACATAGCTGTTGAAAATGGCCCATTTATAGATGATTTACCTATTAAAGATGGTGATGTGCCATAGTTTTTTGTAAACGTTTACCAGAGGGTAAGTGAACCTTTGAATGGGAAAAGCATGGGAAATCATCAAACAAAACCAGAAATGGTGGTTTGATGTGGTGTGTCCATTGCTATGTCTGGTTACGGGTATACCATGGGAATATGAGCAGTACAGATTCTGGTGCCCAGCTGCAATTCTTAGATGTCCAGCATGCATCAAAAATTGGTACGTGCCCTGTCCAACAGTGGAAAAAGATATCCAACAAACGTGGGTTTGAAATCCTAAGCAGTTGAGATCAGAAACGCCTGGTCGATTTGGGAGAACCGTTCCGGGAACTTTGCTGCAAATCGCACTCCAAAGAACTCTTTCTGGTATTTTATCTGGCACTCTTTCTGCCATATGTTCTGGCGTATGTTCTGGCATGCTATCTGGCATTCTATCTGAAATTCTACCCTCTGGTAATTTAACGTAGCTATGGAAAATCACCATTTTTGATGGGAAAACTCACTATAAATGGCCATTTTCCATAGCTTTTTGTATGTTTACCAGAGGGTGTTGTGCCATTCTATCTGGCATTTATTCTGACACTCTTTTCTGGCTTCGGTGAGCAACACTTTGATCCGGAGCTTACGCTGGAGGTCCCGAGGAAGGAGGAGGAAGGAAGGAGCCAGGCGGGCGAACGTAAAATCCGGCAACCCTCACCTGATAGGTGGGGAAAAACAAAGTTTTGGAAAGTCTGTGGCCATGAAAACTCTCCCTGATGGCCGATGCCAACTGGGTTGACATCCCAATCTCCTGGATTCTCCCGGTATCCCTATTCTGGCTTCATCTTATGGGAATGGGTCAAAATTAGGTACCCCAATTTGCTTGGATGGTTAATACTAAACTAGACTAACATCTGTGGTCCCACATCGGTCTTCCATTTTGACCCACATCCTTATAACGTCCAAAAGACTGGTAGTAACCGGTAGTACAACCCCCAGTCAATGGCCATGCTGGCCAGGAACCGATTGAGGACGGAGGTACCGATTCCATAGAAAAAAGGCCTATTTTGTTAGGCCTATGTTTCAGGGAATATCCCCAAAATATGGCCAAACATATGGTACAGGGTGGGGCCCCCCAGTTATAAGTTGGTTTATAAACCATTATACCCTCCATTAACTATAGTTACATCTACCATAAACCATAGTAGGATCCTGAAATCCGCCATTGACCCAATAACGAATCAACAGAAGTCGTCTCAACGGCGTCTGTGAAAAATTGGCTCCTCTTTGATCGGTTCCATCGACCGACGCTCACCTGCAAGGTCAGAAGTCTCTAGAGATTCGGTTTCTGTAGATTTCGGAGCTCAAGATATGGCTATGGGTCACCCTGGTACCTAGAGAGAACCCCAAAATAGCTGGTAAATTGATGTTCATCTCACTTATACTAACAAGTTTTGACCACCCCCTATTTCAAGTTCTAAATGTTTGATTTCCTGTAGACTGACTCCACAACATCACTCCATTGACCCCCAAATTCCAGCCACAAAAAGTGGCAATGACCGACTCATCAACCAATCGAAAGCTGAGAAGCTCCACATGTTGCGTCATGGTACAGGGTGGGGCCCCAAGATAGCGTTCAGTTGGTTCATAAGTGGTTGAATTCAATGGTTTATGGTAGATATAACGAACTAGTTAAGATAGCTTTCAGTTGGTTTATAAGTGGTTGAATTCCATGGTTTATGCTATAGATATAACGAACTAGTTAATGGGGATTATTTCATGGTTTATAAACCAACGTTCACATCACTGGGCCTCATCCTGTATCTTGATGTTGGGACATCCATCCCATAGGAATCCAGCCACATCATGCGAATCTCCATGAGGACCTGTGGATGGGCCAGCGAAATCCCAACAAAACCAGCTGATAGATGGTAAACATCCCAAGATTTTCTGCTTTCAACCATCCCAAATTGGTGGTTTATCGGATTTCGCTGGCCCATCCAAATCATATTGCCTTTTTATTTATAAATAAATTCACTAGTAGTTTTTATTATCCCAGTTATCCATAGATTTTCCATAGATGTTCACGATTTTCCATAGATGTTCCCTAGATTTTCCCAGTTATCCATAGATTCTCCATAGATGTTCACGATTTTCCATAGATGTTCCCTAGATTTTCCCAGTTATCCATACCCTCTGGTAAACTAACATAGCTATTGAAAAATGCCATGTATAGTGGATTTACCCATTAAAAATGGTGATTTTCCATAGCTATGTTAGTTTACCAGAGGGTAGATTTTCCATAGATTTCGCTGGCCCATCCACGCTATTTCCATAGACTTGATGACCATCCCTTGCTGAGTGCCTCAACTTTGTCAACCGCTCAGCGTCAGGAGCCACCTTGGTGTCACCGTTGTTGGTTTGTTGTTGCTCCAGGATAAGTCGCTCAATGGATCATAAGATATCAGAATTTATATATGTTTATCTATCTATATTATATATATATATATCTATCTATATATACCATGAACATCCAACACATCCACATACTCAACAGTTCCTGAAGTATGTTGGAGTTCAAACATCAACGGGCACCGCTCAGCAATGCTGTGGCTTAGAGCGGCGCCGGGCTCCGTGCGGCCGGCAAGGCCTCAGAGATGGGCATGTCATGGGGAAATCATCGTGAAATCTGACTGAGATGGGTGTCAAAATCACTATGTTTGGCTTACTTTTATGATGGCTTTAATACGGTTTTATACGGTTTTATATATGGTTCAATATGGTTTATGGGTTATTATTGTTTTACCCACATTAGTTATAATGGGTTAATGGATGTTAATGGGAAATAATCATTGTATCCTGTGGGTTTGAAAAACACTGCTCAACTGGAACCGTTGCATTTTAGTGGGTTTGTTCATCAAAATTATGACTGGTTGGTGGTTTTAACCATCTTGAAAAATATGAAAGTCGATGGGAAGGATGACAACCCATAAAAAAATGGAAAATAAAAAATGTTTGAAACCACCAACCAGATGATGGCTTTAATACGGTTTTATACGATTTTATATGGTTTAATCTGGTTTTTGTGTGGAGAGATGTTGGTTTAAAGAAACCAGATATATAGCTGTTGGTGAATCAACGACTATGGCTTGTGGATGTTTATGATATATATATATATATATAAATATATATATATATAACTATACATGTATACATATCTGGTTGGTGGTATACCTACCCCTCGGAAAAATATGAGTTCGTCAGTTGGGATGATGACATTCCCAACTGAATGGAAAGTCATAAAATTCCATGGTTCCGAACCACCAACCAGTTTACTATTATGAAGATTAGATTGGTCAAATAATCTATGATTTGAAATTACAAGGTAATCATATGACATATTACAGTACCATCTGGTTATTTAACAGTTCGCCATGGAAAATCACCATGCTATTAAGAACGGTAAACCATCTATTTCGATTAGGGCCATCGAAAAACCATGGCTATGTTAGTCATAACCATAGGGTAGACGCCACAGGATTACCAAGTCTAATCTCTCAAAAAATCGGGATGCCGTTGGATTAGCGCGAGCCGCAAGTCTTGGATTGTGTCGAAATTCTATCATCACCCAAAAAAATTTGCTGATATCTGATGATATAATATGATATGACATGATATAATATGATATGACATGATATAATATAATATAATATAATATGATATGATATGATATAGTATGATATAGTATGATATAGTCACAATCTTCCCCAATCAAGCAGCCGTCTCATGCTAGTCTGTTGCACTAAAAACATATAATTATTAAATATGTATCAAGCAGTCGTCTCAAATAGAAACAGTTGGTAGATTCTGTTGATTTCTTGTTCCGTCCTGCCCCCCCCTCTGTTGGGAAACTGCCCTTGTCTATTTATATTTATATATATATATATATATTCATATTAATTATCTAGTTTCTACATCCACTGGTCCAAGTTCTTGGGAATTCTCCGGAGAGCTCCAGGGCCTCTGAGTGCCTGGCGAGCAGGGCCGACCATCGGGCCTGTTGCTAGATACCATTGAAAAACTTCAGGCTGCCGAGCCTTGGAGTTCTTGACGCCATGAGTTTCGGCTCAAAACTGCTGGGATCTGCTGGGGCTTCTGACTTTGACTTAGTGAGGTGAGAAAAATCTGATCTTCTGGGGGGCTTCGGACTGCAAACACCGTGCAAAATGGGGAAGATCTGTTGAATTTCTTTGCTCTTGAGCAGCGGCGGCGCGGAGCTTGTGGAAGGGATTGGACTTGCCCAAGTGGGCCCAAGTTCCATCCACTCGAGGGCACAAACGTGGCTTGTATTCAAGATACCAAGTGACCCACAAAAAACTCATGTGGTCCCAATGATCAAACTCCCATTTGGAGGTTTATACCACCTACATCTGCAGAAATTGGGGTTATTGTTCATTTTACCACATGAGCCTTTTTTTTCATGACCTGAAATCTGGCGGCCAATGACTAGCTGTAGCCACGTTTTTTCTTTTTTGTCACCATGCAGATGCACAGTGCCGTGCCAGGCTTCACCCATTTCCTTTAGAAGATGAGCCGTTCATGGCAAGGTCTAACTGCTGGTTGCAACCCCAAGGCTCCTTGCAACCGAAGCCCCGAGGGGTGGTTGGGGATCATCCCTTGTCGCTGGTCGGCCGTGCAGTTCGCTGGTGTGTTCACTGTGACATCTCATCCGCAAAGCCAGGACCAGTTCGCTTAAGGTAACTTCCACACGCTTCCCACTGCTAGCCCTCAGTGCCACCAGCTATCCTTCACCACATCTCCTATCTTCCGCAGCTCCAAATGTAAATTTTGAAACACATCTCCCGCGATGATCTAATCAGTTGATCCACATCCAGTAGATTCCAGTAGTCAGATATCAGATGTTGGTCAGTCAGATGTCAGTGTTCAGCATGAAGATCAGCTCCATCTGCCTGCCTTGCCTGCCTTGCCTGCCTTGCCTCCATCAGCTGCGGCTCATCCTCGGTGCTCTGGGTATTGCCGTAGGAACTCCGCCTCGTGCACCGCTCGTAGCAGGGCGTGGAAGAAGGTCTCGGGGACTTCCATCAAGCCGCGCTCCGAGGAATCCTGGAATCGATGCGAATCAAAAAAAAAACGCACAGATGGGCCGAGAAAACGATTGTTGTTTCTGGTTGGTGGTATACCTACCCCTCTGAAAAATATGAAAGTCAGTTGGGAGGATGAAATTCCAAACTGAATGGAAAAACAAAAAATGTTCCAAACCACCAACCAGTGAATAGTTTAAGTTCTAAGGATTTTTTTGCGGTGGCCGAATAATGTTCACCTACGATTTATAAACTCACCCTAAATAAAGCTAACCAAACTCCCAACCTAAATAATAAATGACCCCTAGATAAAGCTATTTTGTTTTTGCCCTAAACCCAGATTTGCCCAGATGGGGCTGAACAAAATTGTCCATGCTTTATTTGAGGTGGCTGTCATGTACTAATTCATACTGCCAGCTCATTAGATCTTACTTTGATAGCTTCAAAATTTCAAAAATAATGGATGCTCTTTCTATTCAAATCCTTTACCCAGATGCTCCATGTATGGTATATTTACCTACATTTGGGTGATTATTAGGGCAAATGTTGGTAAATATTCCATACATGGAGCATATGGGTTATGTAAAACCTATTCAAAATCAATCCCAAATCAACTCATCAAGGGTGCGCCCCATGAGGTGCCTTAGCACTAATTAGAGTTTGACCCTGAAAATCAAGCTACTGAGCTTCCCCCTCCCGCTGATCAAGAAATGAATACTAAATCAATTCTAAATCCATGAAATGAATACTAAATCAATGCTAAATCCATGAAATGAATACTAAATCAATACCAAATCAAGACTAAATCCATGAAATGAATACTAAATCAATACTAAAACAATTGTTGGATTCCTTATTTTTGTGGAAATTGCATTTTAAATTATCATTTGAAATTGTGGTAATTGAAAACCAATACATACAAACAAGTTTGATGGTGGCTTTAACTTTATTTAGGGGCAAAGAGGGAGGGGGGTGCTATTTATAAATCAGAGGTCAACATTACCAAAGATTGCTGGAAATTTGTGATTAAAAAGAACGTCTCAACATTGGCACCTTTGGTTTTTGAAGAAAACACCATCATATACGTCATGTTTCTTGAACAATAAAAAACAATAAAACGAAAACATTGTTTTAAAAAAACACACACACATCATGTTTCTTGAAGAAAAAACAATAAAACGCAAACATGCTTTAAAAATAAACATTAAAAAAATAAAACACATCATATGTCTTGAAGAAAAAAGAACAATAAAACGAAAAACATCAACATCACCCACATCGCCCAGAGTCCTTTTTGGTGGATTGTGTCAAGGTGATGCTGTTTTGCACACCATCCCAGTTGGCCCTGACCAAATCCATCAGATCGAAGGCTCCCTTCGCTTCCTGACCTAAGGTTCGCCGAGACGACGCGTCAACGCATGAGATCCCCAAAATGTGATGTTTAAGTTGGTTAAAGTAAGCCAATTGGAAAATCACCATATCTGAAAAAGTAACCCAACTAGTTAAAATTATTTAGGCTAACATATCTTAATTGGTTAAGTTGGTTTAAGTTGGTTAAAGTAACCCAATTGGAAGATTTACTAAGGTTACCCGGCCTGGTAAACGTTTACATAGCGAACTGGAAAATCACCATGTTGAATGGGAAAATCCACTATTTCGACTGGGCCATTTTCAATAGCTATGTTAAATTACCAGAGGTTAACTTACACAATTTGAGGGATGGCATTAATCCCTTGCCCAGTTCATATATGAAACACACCCTAAACGAAACCATGGTTATCATAGTCAACTTAGCCATCTAGGGCGCCTCACCTTTCAGTGGGAAAAAAAAACATGTCCGGCGGATTTACCAATGGCAATGGGGCAAAACATGCCAAAAGAATCCAAAAGATGTTACCCTCTGGTAAACTAACAGTTTACTGTGAAAAGATCCACCATTTTTCGTGGGTAAATCAACGAACTTTCTGAATGTGCCATGGCTTCAAGTTCGCAAACTGTGAATGTCATTACAGTTTGGCTAATACCAACTCATCAAATCCAAGTGACCAGCCTGAGCAGCTGCATGATCCTTGAAATATTTCAAGAAAGCTGTGGAGTTGCCGCCGTAGCCCACGAAGAAGTAGCGCTTCACGCTGGATCTCCTGCCGGCCTTCTTCTTGAAATAGGCTCCAGTACTTAAAATGTTACAGGCCAGATCGAAAGTCATCAGATCTTCATTGGTGGTGTCAATGAGATTTCTTCCTCTTGGTCTCCAAGCATCGTTGTATTTCCTGAAGGAAAAACGCGAAAAAAAAACCATGCCCCAAAACATGCGAAACAGATTCCCATTAGATTCCTACCATCTATCGTCTGGTAGATTCGCCTCAGTTTATGGAACATTCCAAACACAAAAAATCCAGGGTGAAATTGCCCTCTTCTTCCCAACAACATTTCTGGTTGGTGGTATACCTACCCCTCTGAAAAATATGAAAATCAGTTGGGGTTACGAACTTCCCAACTGAATGGAAAGTCATAAAATTCCATGGTTCCAGTCACCACCAACCAGATATATTATATTGTTATTCCAATTATTAACCATTATTAACCATAGATTAACCATAGATTAACCAGGAAAATTCCATGGTTCCAGTCACCACCAATCAGAAAAAATCTGCTCCAAGTCTCTGTTGCACCTCCATCAGTCTCCGCCCCGGCAGATATGGCAGATCCACCGGCGGCATCGAGGTCTGCGTCGAGATCCCCGGGCCCAGCGGCACCACGTCGTCCTCGCGCGACGTCGACGCGGCGCCGGCGCCGGCGCCCACCCCGGCGCTGCGGGAGAGCGGCGAAAAGTCCACGGTGACGGTGGCGCGAGGCGGGACAGCAGGCGGAGAAGCCCGACCACTCTGGCGGTCCATCATGATGGTCCTGAGTTGAACATGGCAAAGTCAAAATCCGCCGGGTTTTTGGGGGGGTAAGATCCGTTTCTTTCGAGAGAATATGTTAGAATCACTTTTGAGAGAATTTGTAAGGACCACAACAGAATTCAGAGCCGTTCGAATGCATAATGGATTGTGATAATCCCCAATATATTAGTCATCCTGGAGTAGATAGGATAAGGAAACTTCAAAATCATCACAAAAATGGGAATGTCTTTGAACATGTATATCTAAGTTGCCAACTATATTGAACCACGTTGCTCATGATTAACCATTTACCATTTATATCAACCATGATTAAAACCATATTAAACCATATTGAAACATAATGGCACATATTAAACCATATTAGACCATCTTAAACGAGGTCAAAACATACTAAAACGTATAGTTAACTTAAACTAGGTCAAAACATACGAAAACATATAGTTGAAACATAGGTCTGAAACATCTTAAAACCCCCAACATCAGCCCCACCAGCAGCCGCCCAGGCACCAGCGTTCTTGCACCGCCTCCGCCGCCACTTCTTCCAAGTGCGCAAGCTCTTCCGCTTCCAGCGCCGCCTCCCCAGGTCACCAAAAAAATGGTGGAAAGTTACTCAATGATTAATGACAATTAGTTAGTTCTAATTCTCATTAACTATCCATTAGTTGAGTGGTATTACAACTATCATTAACTATTATAACTATAAATATAATGAATCAAATAGTTAGTGAATGGTAGTTATAATACCACTCAATGGTGGATATAACTATAGTTAGTTGTTGTAGTTAGTTACAACGGTGGACTTTACATGACTTAGCTACAAATAAAATGGATTTCGCGGATTCAATCTTTGAAAAACTGGGATTCTACCATGAACAAAATAAGCGCTTTATATGATTATTGATGTGAATTTGTTCGTTCAGTTAACCATACCTCATTGATGTGTTTGTATGCGCCAAAGTTCAGGAAAAATGATGAGTGATCTATGGAACATAGGCAGTTTGCCATGATAAAGCTGTGTTTTTAGGTGTGATTTAATGATCAAAACTGAAAGGAATCAACAAGAAAGGACTTATATAACCATGAACAAGTAATGGCAACGGGTTTGTCGGCCCTTGGCGAAACTTTTCCGACCCACCAAGTTCGGACGTCCGGTGCGGGGCTCGGTGCGCGGTTTTTTCTCCGTGTAAGTTGACCATGAAGCCCTTTTGGGGGATCATCCTACCCTCTGGTAAACATACAAAAAGCTATTGAAAATGGCCATTTATAGTGGATTTTCCCATTAAACATGGTGATTTTCCATAGCTATGTTAGTTTACCAGAGGGTACATTGTAATTGGGTAATGCCGGTGATACGGTGGATGGGCCAGCGAAATCCTGCAGTTGATACGGTGGTGCAAGGGAAAACTACCATGGGTGGTTTATCGGATTCCGAAACCATCCACAGTTTTTGATAACTAGTACTAACACTAACAATATGATAATACCCTCTGGTTATGACTAACAGTTTGCCATGGTTTTTCGATGACCCATAGAAATAGATGGTTTACCGTTCTTAATAGCATGGTGGATCTTTCCATGGCTATGTTTGTAACAGTCATACCCAAATGGTAAGTCATAACAAATCTCAAAAAAGCAGGGATTGGTAAATGTCCCATTTTTGGGATATTGGACACCACCCTTTAATGGCCATTATAGATGATACACCTCATGGTTGGGTGATGTTCAATTGGGACGTTTAATGACCCATGAAAAGGGAAGAACGCCTTTTTTTTGGAGGACAAAGACCATGGTCCTGTTGAACTTTTTCGTCACAATTCGTGGGAACCTCCAAGTAGTGTCATCGTTTTGTAAGTACCATGTTGAAACCATGAGTAAACCATGGGTTTCACCATGTTTGATCAAGAAAAACCCATGAGTTTGACAACAGTATCGACTACTTACTAGTATTGATCAGCAACATTGCTGACATTTTTTTGCATTCACCTGCCCTATTCTTGTTGGTGAACATAATGTCGGTTGGTGGTTGATCTAACTAGTGAATGTGGTAAACCCAATACCAGCACAATGTGGGGCCCAGTTATAAGTTGGTTTATAAACCCCAGCAACTATAGTTATAAGTACCATAAATCATAGTTATTGGAGTCATACCCTCTGGTAATTTAACATAGCTATTGAAAATCACCATTTTTAATGGGAAAATCCACTATTAATGGTCATTTTCAATAGCTACGTTAAATTACCAGAGGGTAAACCAACTTAGCTATCGTAAACGGGGCCCACATTGCAACCATCCCCTGCCCTATGTCCATAACTGGCTTGCGGGTTTATCATCCCCAGATTAGCTTGCTGGGTTTACAGCATCAACTCCCAGCAGCCAGCTACGAGCTTATTATTATTATTGTTTTACCCACATTAGTTATAATGGGTTAATGGATGTTAATGGGAAATAATCATTGTATCCTGTGGGTTTGAAAAACACTGCTCAACTGGAACCGTTCCATTTTAGTGGGTTTGTTCATCAAAATTATGACTGCTTGGTGGTGCAATAACCATCTTGAAAAATATGAGTTCGTCAATGGGAAGGATGACAACCCATATATTGTAGTAATTATTCTAGAAATAAAAAATGTTTGAAACCACCAACCAGATGAGTATCCCCAATATGAGTATGTAGAATCGAACCTCCGAAAACCTTTTTTAACCAGAAACAAAACCATCATGTCTCAACCATATTCCCCATAATTTTTCTTCATTTCTTAAATCCTATCACTGATGGAGATTAAGAAATGAACCATCAGTGATAGGATATTCTTGAATCAACCATATCTTATTATTCTCATGAATCAATATTAATATGGTTTCTCATCATATCTCAACCATATCTATGTTCAATCCATATTAAACACATAGATATTCATCACATCAACCGACGGAGATGCTGAACTTTGCATATGGATTGAACATCCCCATGAAACCTCCATGGTTTTAAAGCCCTATGAAACCTCCATTGCCAATGGTTGGGTTACCATAAATATCCATAGAATGACTACTTCATCCTTTCAAAACCCTATGAAACCCCATGTGTTACATGAGTTTGATGCATGAAATCCATTGAAATCCATGTAAAATCATGAAATCACTCTGAAATCACCATCAAATCCCTATAAAACCTTATAAATTCCCTCTAAAATCCCATGAAACCCTCCAAAATCCCGAGATTTTCCACCCTCCTCCGCCCGCGCGGGGTACGCGCCTCCTCCGCCTGCCGCAGCGCCTCGGAGGCCTTCCGCGCTGCCGAGGCCTCGGAGGCCTCGAAGGCTTCGGCCAAGCGCAAGTCTTCGGCCTCGGAGAAAAGTGGGAGAAAAATCATCTACTGGTGATTTTGGTTTACATCCATTGGATGATTGGGATATATTGGGATAATCATCTATAGTTGTCATTTATCCCAATATATCCCAATATATCCCAATATATTGATTTAGGATCCATGGTGCTGGTATATATGCTAACATTGGGGGTATATTGATGGTAAATGTTGATTTTTAGTTAATCATTGATTTAATGATGGTAATATTGGTGATGGTTTATTGTAAAATCCTATTATCCCAATATATTGCTTTACTATGTGGGTAAAACAATAATAATAATAGTCGTAACCATCACCAAAATGGGTTTATTATTACTATGGTTTATTATGGTTTACAATAAATTTATCACCAAAATCACCAATAATAATAGTAATTATAATAGTAGTAACCATCACCAAAATCACCAATAATAATAATAATAGTAATTATAATAGTAGTAACCATCACCAAAATCACCAATAATAATAATCTCATGGTGATTTTGGTTATCTATTTTGGTAGTATGGTCTCCGATAATCATCTCTATTTTGGTGATATATTGGGGTATATTGGGATAATCATCTATAGTTGTCATTTATCCCAATATATTGCTTTACTATGAGGCTTAAGTTCCCATTAGCATCCATTAACCCATTTTAATTAATGTTGATAAAACAATAATAAACCATCACCAAAATCACCAATAATAATAATAGTAACCATTTATATAGATTGGTTATGTCATATCCCTTGATAACTAATATATAAATGGTTTTTCAATATATTGGAAACCATTGATATATCCATATCTCCCAATTTGTTGATAGATGAATTTCTCCCTATATATTTTTCTAATAGATTGTTCTTAGTTATTGGATAGGAATATTCATAGTAGTATATTAGAAACCGTTGATATAATGGGAAAAGATGATCCCAATGGTCTATTGCAAAACCCATTGATATATTGAGAAGCAGAATATCTATTGGGAAAGCAGAATTCTACTGATAGACTGATATCATGATATCATTGTATTCATAATGGACATGGGGATGGGGATGATATCAGGATATTGGGATTTTTGTGTTTGCTTGTTTTTAGTATCATGGTTATGTTTAATAAGAATGAATGTGTCATGTATCTACAAATGAACCATAAATCATACCCTCTGGTAAACTGTTACATAACTATGGAAAGATCCACCATGCTATCAATGGGTAAATCCACGAACTTTCAATGGCCATTTTCCAGTTCGCTATTTTGACATAACCAGAGGGTAAATCAACCAAAATGGATACCATAAATCCCAAGCCCCATCTTTTTGTCCAACCGTCCACCCCATCTGAAGGCGCCTGCGTCCGCGAAACGCTCCGCAACAGCTCTGCCTCCCGCTGCGCCTCCAGCAGTTGCTGCCGCAGCGCCAGCACGGAGTCAGACTCCTGCGGAGGATCCTGGACGTATGGGAAGTATGGTATTGATATGGTTGAACTGCCCTCTGGTACATTAACATCTGGTAAATTAACATAGACCCTGGCAGATAGGGGTTGGAAGATTAGTGAAACCACTAAAAATTGGTGATTTTCAGGGTCTATGTTAATTTACTGGAGGGTATAACTATTAGTTGATGGGTCAACTATAACTATAACTATAACTGATACATATTGATATTGTGTTTGTATATATATATATATATGGTTATATACCTATGGTTGATATGGTTGAACTTGTTTTTTTGTAACTTATATAGCTATGGTTAGGGAGAATAGAACATGGTAGAACTACATTTTTATAGTTAATTGATGTTTATTGATGTTTGGTATGGTTGATATGGTTGAACTATACCCTCTGGTAATCACTAACAGTTTGCTATTGAATAGATGGCACCTTTATTTCGTTGATTTACCTATTCAAGATGGTGATTTTCCAGTTCGCAGACTGTTAGTTTACCAGAGGGTAACTATTAGCTGATGGGTTAACTATAACTGTAACATATTGATGCTGGGTTTGTATATATGGTTATATACCTATGGTTGATATGGTTGATATGGGTAATTATGTACCCTCTAGTAAACCAACATAGCTATGGAAAATCACAATTTCAAATAGGTAAATCAACTATAAATGGCCATGTCCAATAGCTACGTTAAATTACCAGAGGGTATGTTTGATATGGTTAACTATATAATTGTTAGCTGAACCATAGTAACCGTAGTTTTATAACCATATCTAAACCCAAATAACTATATACCCTCCAGTAAATTAACAGTTCGACCCTGGCAGTCATCGGGGTTGGTTCAGACTAGTGAAACCACTATAAATAGGTCATTTTCAGGGTCAACAAGTTAAATTACCAGGGGCTAATCATGGGATGGTTTCTAAAGCCAAAATTTTCCCTTGGGTGGTTTTTCAATGGTTGCGCCCAGGGGATAGAACTAACTGAAGTTTTTCTTGGCTTTGGAAGCCATCCATTTAAAAAAAAAAAATCATCCCAATAAAGGGTAGACTGAACCTCAATTGGGGATAGGAAAACATATTATTGGGTAAATATTATGAACCTCAATAATAATGTGATAGGTAAAATAAGAGTTATAAACATTAGTATAAGAGTTATTTTCAGGTTAGTGAATTAGTATAAACATAGATTTGCTTAAGGAACCACCAGAAAATAAAAATCATCCCTTCATCGATTCCCCAAGTATTGGATTTCCCATGGGGAATCATCTTCAGCAAATCCAAGTGATTATTGGCTCTACCACATTACTTAAAATAAACCGACACTAATAGCGACACTAAAAATTCAAATCCAAAGTGGGGCCCCCTAGATAGCTAAGTTGGTTTGTAACTCCAATAACTATGGTTTATGGTATTTATAACTATAGTTATTGGGGCTTTTGTTAACCAACTAACATCACTAGGGGGCCCCACATTGTATGCCATAGAACTGGGAGTTCAATCCCTGAAGGTTGCTTTGGAGGATCATCCCACTTAGCAACTGGACGTGGGCTTATCCTAGACGTCCACGTGGGGGACTTCCGACTAAGCCCCACTGACGAAGAAAAAATCTGATCCCTCAAATGATCCTCCAAGGACCTCTTTTCATTGCCAGATACCCAAAAAATGACAAATTCTCTGCTGGTGAAAGTAGATCAAGTAGATCAAGTAGATCATCCTATAGCAAAAGATTCTTCAGGATTAGTTTCTACCCATCCAGTTGGTTGACCTAGCCTGGTTGGTGGTATACCTACCCCTCCGAAAAATATCGTCAGATTGGATCATCATCCCAACTATTATGGAAAATAAAACCACCAACCAGTATCACCACCAACCCATGAAAATTTACCAGTAGCTAAATCCTATCCAACCAGTAGCTTTTATACCTCTGAAAAATATGAAAGTCAGATTGGATCATCATCCCAACTATTATGGAACATAAAAAATGTTCCAATCACCACCAACCAGTAGCTTTTATACCTCCAACGTCTGTTGACCCAACCTTTGGGTGTCCTCCAGATCACCTCCCGACATGCCCTGCCAGAGCCTTTGCAAACGCGCCTGGCTCGGGGGATCCAGGTGTTTTCACCAAGAAAACATAGAGATTTCACCATGAAGATGGTGATGTAACCATGATTTAAGCCACAAGGTTGTGGTGATTGGGTGGATTTTTCAGTTTTTATTTAACCATCAAACATCATCAAACATGGTTTTTTTCACCATCCAGAATGGGTGGATTTTTTCACTAACATAGGTGAGTTAACCAACCAAACATCGGGATTGAAGCGATTTTTCGCAACCTTTCAGTGGTGAGTCCATGGATCTCACCACCAAAAATGACATAGACCGACTTATGACTAGGGGGCACACCACCTTCTAAGAAAGATTGAATGGGACCTTTGCACCAGACCCCTACCCCAAAAACGTGGAAAAAAACTGAAAAAAACATATATCCTTAAAATGGTGGTTTTTAGCCTTAAAATGGGGTTACTATCTGGTGCAAAGGTCCTGTTCCATCTATATCATCTCATATCTCCATTGCTGGTGAGGTATATCTCCTTATGACATCTTATGACATCACTTCACTTTCAACTGGTGCCATTTTTGTATGTGATTTTGCTTCGCAAATACAATGCCTAGTTGGGCTAGTAGCTTCCTAACGACTCACAAGCTGGTGCCCCCCAAGTTATGTTTGCTGGTGTGTAAAGAACATCAAGTACTTTGATATCTGATATATCATTATAGATCTGCCAGAAACCATAGCTAATCAACCTAGTGGCACAAACCAATTGTATCTTATCATTGTACTATATATATACAGTTTAAACATATCCATAATTGATTAGTGAAGGCATGTTGAACCCTCATTGAACCCTCATTGTTGATGGTTAACCTCCATCAGGGCGTGACCAAAACGTGCCCAAATAGCTACGTGCCATGCCCGTCTTCGACCCAGAACCTCCATCTCTCGACTGGCACTCAACTCCGCGGTGACCTTCTCCGTGCTTTCGGCCAGTGCCTGTAGTTCTTCGGTTCCTGGCGAAGGGACGAAGGAAAAAAAAAGCGGACTGAGATGTTTCCGGTTTTTTGACCTGGAAAAGCCTGGAAATTGAAGGAGGAAAACCTGAAGGCCGAAGATTTGAGATTTTGAAGTTCTGAGATTCTTTGGTGGATACTTGGGGCTGGCTTTTGGGTGTTTAGGAGATTGTTTCTGGATGTTGCGGGTGAATTTGTGGCTCTTGCATTTTGCTGGTCTTGGCAAAAAAAATAGATGAGGACATGGATGTTGGATTTTTGTGGGGAAATATTGGCTGGGGCCTATTGGTAGGAAAACATGGATAAATCACGGTTCTGACCAGGGAATTGTTTGCATTTGTGTGGGAAAACTGGATGAAAAATCGACTGGTAACCCAGGGTCCGACCAAAGATCTGGGAGCCGCACCTGTCAATACACACCAGGAGATCGATTAGACACAGGCTGTTTCTCAGGATGATTTGGGGTCTATCATATGACATTCAGAAACGGCGCTCTCACCACCCTTAAAGCTCGGTCCGGCCAGGGGTTGCAAGAAATCACCAGAAAATCATCCCATCAAATGTTCGTTACATCAGTGTCCCGTCCTTGTTAGTGTTTTTTCTAGGAACTTGGATCATAACCTGTCTCCAACTTTCAGAAAACCATAGAGGACTGTCCCAGGGATGGTAGCTGCTTTACATCGATGCTTCCATTTCTCCATTTTACAACTGGGATTTCTTTGTACAGGATGGGGAAAACCAGTTATGCGAATGTTAGTTTGTCAACCCCATGAACTAGTTCGTTATATCTACCATAAACCATTGAATTCAACCACTTATAACCATGTTAAATCACTTAGATAAGGCAACTGAACGCTATCGAACGGGGGCCACATCCTGTATTACTAGCTAGTTACCTAAGTGAGATGTTCCAAGTCGGCGGCTATCCGGTATCCCCGAGACCCCCACCTTTTCTTTCCAGCTCTTCTTTCAGCCGTTCACCACGTGTTCCCGCCTCTTCCACTTGCTGTTTCCTGCACCAGGATGTTCCGTACTGGAAGTCGGAAGACCCAAACACATGGGAAATGAATGAAAAATCACGGGGTCTAAAATGGCAAGCCTTTTATCACCATTGGTGAAACTCCAAAGTGGCAACTTTATGGCTACCAAACTATATGACGTAGGAAACACCCAAGAGAAACAATTCTGTTCCCCAGATTTTCTACAAAAAAACATGATATTTCCTTGTTGGTGGTTTCAACCCCTCTGAAAAATATGAAAGCCAGTTGGGATGATTCTTCCCAACTGAATGGAAAGTCATAAAAATCCATGGTTCCAGTCACCACCAAGCAGATGATATTTCACATGATACCCTCCGGTAAATTAACATAGACCCTGGCAGTCATCGGGGTTGGAAGACTAGTTTCCATTAAAAATTGTTGATTTTCAGGGTCGAACTGTTTATTTACCAGAGGGTATCATCACATGATATTTCACAGGTTTCCTCTCCAAAATGGGTATGGGTCAAAATTAGGTACCCCAATTTGCTTGAATGGTTAATACTAAACTAGACATTCACATCTGTGGTCCCACATCGGTCTTCCATTTTGACCCACATCCAAATCACGAAAAAAACCCGAGAAACCTGCCGCCAAGTCACTGAGCCTCTCGCAACCTCTGCAGTTCCACCTCCAGCGAGTCACCCCGCGCTGCGCCGATCCTCGCGGGCCGATCGCGGAGCCGTGGTTCAGAAACGGGCGGTTGAAGGATAAGATGGATTCAACATCAGATCCATCAAACATATGCAAAAATGGGTAAATCCACCATTTTCAATGGGTAAATCCACTATTTCTATGGCAATTTTCAATAGCTATGTTAGTCATTACCAGAGGGTAAACCAACATTGGAAACATATGAGCCATGGTCGGCCTACTCACCAAAAATGGTTGATGGTCATCCCATCCATAATAAGGATCCAAAAATAATGGTTATTATAAATCCCGAGTGGAACCATTGGATGACTAGCCCCGTTTTTAATGGTTATTAACCATGAGTATTGACCATAGCTCATATGCAAAAATGGGAAATATAGAGAAACAAACATGTCGATCTAATTTTGACAAAAATTGGTGAACCAATTTGGAAACCATCAGAAATTGGGATTTGACCAACAAAAAGTGGGATTGAATCGAAGATAAATGGTGGAATAGTGAGCGCGTTCATCGGATTTTTTTTTGAATGCCCTCTGGTAAACTAACATAGCTATTGAAAATCACAATTTTTTATGGGAAAACTCACTATAAATGGCCATTTTCCATAGCTATGTTAAATTACCAGAGGGTATCAGCCTGAATTTTATGGTTAGATCGGGTAGATCGAATCATAGGGGGAGATGGAAAATTCCTGACTTTCCCAGCAACCTCCATGTTTTGTGGGAATTCCCCGCTTTGCCATGCTTGATGACCGGCTATGAAAAACCACCATGTTTATATAAATCATCTACAAACAGGCGATTTTTCCATCTGAATCCATTGGAATCTCCCCATCTCGGGCGGAGCCAATTCGAGTCGTAGGTCACTGCACCAAGCCCTCCAGTAGCCCATAGAGTCATTCCTAGAACTTGAAAGCCAGACCCAATTTCAAATTGGTAAACCAATCAAAGTTGGTTTTCAACCATGGTAATTGCAACGAACGTTTTCCCGATTGGCTACAAAATTTGAAGATAAGGTCTCAAACCATGTACAAATTTGTGGCATTTTGTAACTGGGAAAAGATGATAAAACAGTGCTGAAAAATTGTTGGATTTTCAAGCGTCCACCATTTTTATGACAGCACCTTTAAGCGATATAGAAAAACACCTTTCATCATCCCGTATTCAAAAAAAAATGATCTGGTTGGTGGTTTTAACCATCTTGAAAAATATTAGTCGATGGGAAGGATTATCCCATATATTATGGAACATTAAAAATGTTTGAAACCACCAACCGGTGATAGTTTGGTGGTTCCAACCCCAACCAGAATATGTTTGTCAATTGGGATCGTCATCCAGCCCAGGCAAAATAGGCAAATGGGGGTTGTTCGAAATCTTTGGTAAGTTATTATATGATGTTGCGTTTCGCCGTTGCGCGCTCTTGCGCCGTTGTGTGGTTTTGGAACATACATCAACAAGTGAGGAAAACAATGCTCAAAATCCAGGGTTTTCTGTGCATTATGGCTGAATTTGCTCTCTCTCGCACATACCGATGGCCGTCCATTCCCTTGCGTGCACCCCTGTTCCGATGCCTATTTCCGTCCTTGCATCCACACAGTCTGTTCGTCCACACGCGCTCATGCCCTGCCCCTCTCCCCGCCCATTTCAATCCATGCTCGCCGCCCCATCTTTCGGTCCTTCCCTTCATGTCCCGTATTTTCCTTTTTGCTTTCTTCCGTCCTTCCCGTACTTCTCCATTGCCGTCCGGTTTTCCGTTACTTTACCATCCACGTCCGTCTTTCCCTTACTTTCCGATTCGCTGTCGTTTCTCCCTTCCTTTCCGATTTTCCCATTCCGTTCAACAACCTGCATGTCAGAATGCATGCCTGATTGCTCGCTCCAGCCATTCACCAAGGCTCTGAAGCGCACGATCTGCAGCTTGAAGGGCAGCTTCCATGTTTTTGACGCGTTCCACGTTCTCCTGGCGATGAAGAAATAGATGCGCGTGCCGAAGAACTGTTGATAAAGATCCTGGAGTCCAGGATTTGTTGATATCAATGGCCATTTTATACCTAAATTGGAGTTACCTACCATATATAAGGCTTGTATGTAAGGATTATGTAAGGGCTATGTAAGGGGATATGCCCTCAAAGTCTGGCTTTCTGTGGTACAGCAATGTACAGCACCTCCATTTCAGGCTCCTGAAATTTCCGTGATCATTCAGTGATCATATGTGTAGATATATACCCTCTGGTTATTTAACATAGCCATGGAAAATCCCTTATAAATGGAGGTTATAGTGGGAAAATCATCTATAAATGGGCAATTTTCCATGGCTATGTTAAATAACAGAGGGTATATATACAAAAATATATATATAATCTAATATATCTATAATGTCTTTGGCTTTTGAAACTGCACCCAACGCATCCGAAAAAATGAAAAACAAACTGGTGAAGGGAATGAAACCACATGGATTTATCTAAAAACAAGGTAGCCTCCAAAAATTGCTGTTGTTCATTTGTTTATCATCTATGTTCCCCTAACAACCCCAGATCTTCCGTATACCATTTTTGGATCAACCCGCTGCACCTGAGAGAAGCTGAAGAAGGACTGTGAAATTTCCTGCAACTCGCTGAATTCGCGTTCCCGGCGCTGGAGTTGCGCCTGCAGTCCCATCTGGATATGGCAACAGGCAAAATTTTGATCCATCTGGGTAAATCATGTTTTTTCCCTGGGTGATCTCAACGAAAAGTCAGAGGAAAACATGTTTCTGAGTAACTTATATTTCACTAACCTGAATTGTTGGGCATTAAGGCCAAAAAAAAGGGGATCATTTCCCTATACATTCACGATGATTTCCAGGCTTCGGGAGAACAGGCTTTGGTCGTGATGAAATTTACCCAGTATCCATGGGGTATAGGTCAAGTGCCTACCCCTTTTTTCATGATTGGATGATGATTGGATCAATGATAGACCAATTCATCGTTGTCAATTTCAGCGTGGCCTTTGTTGTATGGTCATCCATGAACAATGGGAGATCTTCAGGATCCGATTGACTGGAGGTACCTACCATATATAAGGCCTAAATTTCAGGGAATATCCCAGCAAAACATGGCCTTATATGGTACGTTTACGTACCTCCATCTGTTCGGATCCTGAAGATCTCCCATTGATTGTATGGTCATGAAAAATCATGGCAATCCGTACAAGATGGTGCCCCCCAGTTATAAGTTGGTTTATAAACCCCATTGACTATAGTTATATCTGCCATAAACCATAGTTATGGGAGTTATTTGCACCAACTTAGCTAACTATGGGGCACCACCTTGTAAAGGATGCGTTTTTTTAATTCCTGTGAAATCCATGGAGGAACATCCCTCAACATCTGCATCATGCAGGTTGCCACCTGGATCGCCCCCATAGATTTGTCCATGTCTATCATGTGGGGTTGCCTGAAAATGTGGAAATTGAAATAGATTCTACAGGATGAGGCCCCCCAAGATAGCGTTCAGTTGCCTTATGAGTGGCTTAACTATGGGTTATGGTAGATATAACCATAGTTAATGGATGTGTATTTTTATTTTCTTATCAAAATGCCACGTTGGGGTATACCCAGTGAGCGAACACACCTATTCCTGGCGGATCCAAGTTGCAATTCCAAGGTTAGAAACCTACCTGGACTACGAGATGCTACTGCTTATGCAACTACGTTCGCCAAGCGAATTCTTACTTCTAACAGCGGTTGCTACAGCACTTGTTGCTACTGATGGCCCGCCTGAACAGTTCGGGAACTCATCAAAAGCCTTTTGCAAATACCGCTGGAAGCTTTCAAAAACCATAAAAAACAGCAAAAAAAACTCTAAGGTTTTTCATGTGGCAGCCCTTGCAGCCCCGCCTGAACCATCTGGAAGTCACTCATCTTCATCATTTTCCATGCATTGAAGACCAACGACAGCGAGCCGCCCAGCATGGCTGCGATCGTGCCCTCAGCGGCTCGCTGCACCTTTCGGGCCAGTTTCACGCGGTTGGCCTTGGCGATGGGGGCACCTGGTACAGGATTTTTTGCCCCCAAGATAGTGAAGTTGCCTTATGAATGGTGAAAAACTATGGTTTATGGTAGATATAGCCTGTTATATAATTGGCACCTGGTAGAAGATTGTCCATAAATCATTGAATGTCTGGTGATAGATGGTCTCTATCACTGAATAAATCTGGATCTGTTGTGAATCAACCTGTTTCATGTCATGAAGATTTTGCAGAAATGATTGACATGATCCAGATTTATCCAATGATGTATGGATAAGAGACCATCTATCTCAGTAAAATCTTGATAGTCTCCAATGAGTCAATTAAGAGTTAACGGTGTCTTGATTTAATCAGATAGGTGGTGACAATATTCACTTGTAACTTTTTGATATTGGAGCCCCAAAAAGCATGGGGTATATGCCGGAACACGAGCGCAGAGTTGAACACAGACAGATATACAGACAGATAGACAAATAGGCAAACACCAACCCATTAGACTCAACTCAAGAACAGACAGTTAAATAATTCAATCCTTCCCTCTGATTCACCAAACTGTTGTTCATCGTTTCATTCGCCCTAAACTCATGTTGCGGAGGCGGATCTCATTGAACAACAATTACGATTTAAATTCAGTAGATTTAGGGTTGCAGTATGAGGATAATCCATGTTTAGATTCAGATCCTGATAGTGAACATTTTTTCTTTTTATGCCGATTTTTTTGGGTTCAAGATCACAACTTCAAAGAAACAAAGTACTATTTGACTATGCTAACATCACCCCAATTTTTATAAAACTTAAAAAATCAGGGTTGCAGTATGTAAATGTTCAAAATCAATGGATTGATCTAGGCGACTAAAAGGGAAAAAAAAATACCATGATGATTGGTGATAAGAAGATATACCCTCTGGTTATGACTCACTGAACACTCGCACTCGTTGATCCCCGAGAAAGAACTTAGCAAAGTGAAGAAAAAACCCCTGGTAATGACGAAAAGAGTTTGCGAACTTGAAAATGACCATTGACAGTTCGTGGATGTTCCAATTGATAGCATGGTGGATCTTTCCAGTGCGTTTTTTCTATGTTTACCAGGCCGGGTACAGTAGTTGTGAACCTTTGAATGGGAAAACCATGATGAACCGCGCCTTTGGTTTCTAGCAAGATAGACCTTCGCATGGCCGTTTTCTTCCCCTTGGGTTTTTTCTTCGTCCTCTTCATGGGATGTCATGCCATAAAATCCTTCCAGAAGTATTCACCGTTTTCCCCATGTTCAGCCCTTGAAAATCCCAGCTGATTCTTCAAGTCAAGCAAAAATCACTTGCACATGGGATAACCCTCTGGTAATTTAACATAACTATGGAAAATCACCATTTTTAATGGGAAAACTCACTATCAATGGCCATTTTCAATAGCTATGTTAAATTACCAGAGGGTAACCCAAGCCATTTTTTTGTTGGGCATAAGCATCCAAGCTTCGACATATTTCGACCATCCAAGTCACCAAAGCTTGAAAACTCCAAGTCACCCAGGGTTCATAGCCCATGAAATATCAACCACCCCACAAGAAAAAAAAACAGTTGTTCTTTCACTTACCGGGGGAATAGTCACAGATCTCCAAGATAATCTTACTGGTGCTAAACGTAGGGAATGGATGGGTTGCTGGGGGTTGCTGGGATGATTTTTGATACTTATTGTCGATGATTCCCGAAAATTCCCTACGTTTAGCACAAGTAAGAAAATGTTAAATATGTTAAGAATCTACATATATATATATATTATGATGCTAGATAATATATATATATATTATACAGATAAAAAAAAGCATGGATAATCCAAGATAATCCAAGTCACCCAGGCCTGAAAATGTGGTGCCACGAAGCTCGTGGTTTTCTTCGTCATGGCCTCCGACAGCTTTAGCGACGACAAGGCCAGGGCCTGTCGCGCCTCGCGCTGCCCTTCCGCGGCCGCGCGCACGTAGAGGGACGCGAGGTGCCAGGACTGAAAGACCAGGAGAAGGAAGAAATCCAAGCGCCTCAGCGTCAGTATCCACCATTTTTCATGGGAAAATCCACTATTTCTATGGTAGCGTCCCAAGATGTCCGAAGCGTCACTTTTTTTGTGAGATTTCAATATATTTCAATTATGTGGGTGATGTTTTTTTCGGAATGGAAAAACAGAATATAGCGTCAGTATCATATCAATGGATTGGATTTGTTGGGAAAATGTTCACCGGAAAGCCCCATGATCTTAATGGGAAAATCACTCTGGTTTCCGGTTTCAATTTTCCCTTAAACCAATCCATTGATCATAGCGTCACTCTTAGTGAGATTAAAATGATGGGTGATATTTTTTTCGGAAAAAACGGAATATAAATGTTTAAATCTAATCTAGGATATAGCATAACTGGGATTTCATGGAGAATTATGGTCATATTGAAGGAATATCACATAATGGCAGGATATAATACGATAGGAATACTGGGGATTTCCTGCAACGGAGTCATCGTGGCCGTGGAAATCGGAAATCCCCGCCATCGGGCCATCGAGGTTTATACCTGGAAATTGATCAAACTAAATGATGGATTTTCCAGCAAGCCATGATTGCTAGAGGGTAGTTTGGTGAGAACTTTGGGTGTGCTGAAAAACTCACTGAAAGTGTGGGTTCTTGTTTAACCAATTTGGGGTTTGATGTGTTTTAACTGAAAACCATGGATGTTCCCAATATCCAATCAACAAGAAGATCTAAAACGGTTGGAGTCAAGAATTTGGGATGTGAAGAGTTTTAGGTGTAAGCATGGTGCAAAACAAGCGCTTCCTTCTTCATAAAACCGACGCATCTTAATCTTCTCTCCGTGTTTGTTGCTTGAATGCACCAAACACTTTAAGAAAAACCCATCTATATCTAACTGGATATGAATGGAGGATTTTCCCTTGTCAGACTTGATCACCAGAGCGGGAAAACCCCAATGGGTGGAGTTTCAATGATCCCATTTTAAAGAATGAAAACTCAAGTCACCACCCAGCTTCGGTGGTCTAATCTGCCTTTAAATCGTTCAACAAATCTAACCCCACCAGGGTTACAAGTCTTTGGGCCCATCGCAGTTAAATATTGGTTGTACAGCCTTACTGCCGATATATGTTTATGTATATATATATATGGTATATATAATTATATAATATATATATAGATACCCCCCCGGTAATCAAACATGGCACTTGAATATCCCTCTGGAAAAAATGGTTGTTTTTTTGATGAGAAAATCGTTTTCACATTCTACAAAAAATGGGATGATGAAATTCCCAATATATGGAAAAATAAAAAATGTTCCGAACCACCAACCAGTGTCTCATGTCAATGAAGGTTTGAATGGAGAAATCCATCTATAAAATTCGGATTTTCCATTGCCATGTTTGATTACCGGAGGCTACCCTCTGGTAAACTAACATAGCTATGGAAAATCACCATTTTTAATGGGAAAATCCACTATTAACGGCCATTTTCAATAGCTACGTTAAATTACCGGAGGCTATGCGCATTGTTAAATGCTTGGCACCGTGTCTTCGATTTGTCTTTTGAGTCACCAACCGCTTGGAGGATATTAAGTCTCCAGTTCACCTGGTTATGCCATATGGGAACTAACAATTGTAACATATTATCATAACTAACCCAGTTCATGGTTAGTTCACTCAATCATTGGGTGAACAAAAAAAAGAACTAACCATTGATAATATGAACTAAGAATTGATTGGTTAAGATATATGGGATATATATATATTCCCATGACTAACCCATTATGCATGCCATAATTGGGTGAACTAAGAATGGGAACTCACCCAAAAAACACTTCGTGGGATGATCAGGAAAATCGTGTGCACCATAGTTTCAAGCACATCACCAACGACTTGCGAATATTTCGAACAAATACGTTACTTTTATGTATATATATATATGGTAACACAGGACATAATAAGCTTATTTTATTTTGAACCAATATATATATATATATACATATATAATATGTTTCAATCACTTGCATTCCCCATATGTTGCTTGATGAATGGTTCAATTTGTTAAAATCACAGGACCATTACCGTTGCGTTTAACGGTCATAGGTTGATCAAATTCTAAGCATATTATCGGTCCCCAGCTACCACGCAGTGGTTGTATATTCCATTTCATTCACTTAATTAGAGTCCCCATATTTTTGATTGATTAATATTGAAAAATATTACCAGCCTCTCAATCTCAGGTGAATTTCATCAAATGAACCATTGTTTTCACCACATGCAACTTAGTACAAATGATCAGTAATCTTGTTTATTATCGTTAATCAATACATAAATACCAATATCATATTGTTACATGGGTGTTTCTGAACTTGGAGTACTCCCAAAATATGAGTGTTTCCGGCATGCGGCTGATACGCCGCCCTTGGAAGGTTGCTTATTTTGAGATGTGCCATTCACGATCCCTTGGAAGGGTTGCGAATTTGAAAGATGAAGATTTGCGAAAATAATGGTTCAAGAATTGAACTTAGGAGTTGGATGTCTTAACATTCCTGCAAGATGCGTTACGTAGTTCACATGTTGCACATGTTTTCTTATGGTCAACAGGGGCGCGGGCGGTGGGGGGGGTGTGATAACGTTCTTGACGAGTAGAACACTGTGGCCGCGGCTTTGCCGAAAGCACTTTGGCACTGATGTTTCACGAGGTGAAGAAAAATGGATGGATGATCTGGTGGATGTTTGCATGGGAAACTTGAAAATCATAAATTCCTAATGTTTTTTTTTAAGCACTCGAAGAACAAAATAAATTCACCGCGCAGGCGAAATGCATTTTTTTGAACTTGAGTCACACGCCTGCCAATCGAAATGAATGTCCATGTTGCAAACATTCTTTGACAAGTCCCACTAATACCAGCATTTTGTCTCTTAGCCTCGAAAATCTCAATTTCAAATTTGTCACCCTTACAAGGGCAGCGAGTCAACCGGTTGCCTTGTTTCCCTATTGAAGATGCGCAAGTTTGGCTCTTTTGGGGCTCCACGAAGAAACCCCCACATTGATATCCATATTGTTACCCAATCATAAACCAGAATCAGTAACCATGCGTTGATCATGTTCCAAGCATATTCCCCTCTAACCATCTACCCAATCATGTTCATATCAATCATCATTGGGTAGATGGTTGGTTACCATATAAATCATGTTCATATGAATCATCTAACCATCTACCCAATCATATAAACTGATTCACCAAGCATTTTACCCCATGTAGTTCCATCAATTTTCGCAAACCTCCATGGACACTTAGATTTCCCCATGATGATACCGTTTTTCGTTCGCCCGAGCAGCATCAAATGGACCTTTTCCACCTTGACCTTGACCCGTTCGCACTGCGCGATCCTCCGCTGCAGCTGTTCCGCCGCGACGGAGCGCTGCTGCTCCGTGGAAGCCAAGAGCTCCACGGCCGTGTCGTGCTTGTCCATCAGCAGAATTTCCAACCAGCCGCGGAAGATCTCACCTTTTTGGGGATTTCTGTTGTTTTTGCAGAGATGTTGGTTTTTTGTTGGTTTGAAGAAACTAGATATATGTAGCTGTTGGTGAATCAACTATGGCTTGTGGATGTTTAAGATATATATATATATGTAATTATATGTATACATATCTGGTTGGTGGTTTCAACCCCTCTGAAAAATATGAGTTCGTCAGTTGGGATGATGAAATTCCCAATATATGGAAAAATAAAAAATGGTCCAAACCCAACCAGATATGTATATAATTATATATGTATGTGTATGTCTGGGTAAATTACAGTTAATAAGGGGAATCATCCCCATATGGCCTTAATTCAGGTTGGTGAAATATTATAATTTACCCATATATATATAATTATATATGTGTATGTACTGTATATACAAGGTTGGCCCCCCAGTTATAAGATGGTTTATAAACCCCATTAACTATAGTTATAGGTATCATAAACCATAGTTATTGGAGTTATAAACCAACTTAGCTATCTAGGGGGCCCCACTTTGTAGGTAGTTTAATCTATAGATCCTTGGAAACATATCAACCCGGGTCGAAGCTCCAGAAACTCCAGAAGCTCCAGACATGGTCGCTGACACATGGGATTTCAATCCAAGAAAATGATGGTAAAATGATGATTGACCTAGGATTATGTTGGATTATCCATGCTTTCTAGTTATCTATATATTATCTAGCATCATATATATATAATTAGATAATATAGGTATATTCTCAACATATTTTTGACAACTTGTGCGTTTTATGTAGGGAATTTTCGGGAATGATCCACTGGCTAACTATCAATAATCCCAGCAACCCCCAGCAACCCATCCATTCCCTACGTAAAACGCACCAGTGTCTGTTGGTTGAGTTCAGCGAATATCAGGTCATTGTGACACTGTGATTTCTGGGGTTTAACCATCTGGAGGGATTTAACCAATAAACAAGGCATACGTTCTATAACTGGTTGGTGGTGCAATGGGTTAATGGATGTTAATGAAAAATAATCATTGTATCCTGTGGGTTTGAAAAACACTGCTCAACTGGAACCGTTCCATTTTAGTGGTTTGTTCATCAAAATTATGACTGGTTGGTGGTGCAATAACCATCTTGAAAAATATGAGTTCGTCAATGGGAAGGATGCCATTCCATATATGAAATGGAACATAAAATTCATGTTTGAAACCACCAACCAGATAATGATAAATTGGTTTGTCTCACTAGGTTAACATGTTTTTGTTCGTGGTAGATATATCGAACTAGATAGTGAGCTTTATAAACCAGTAAACACAACTGGAGTCAGGAACCTCTGCAGTAAATTAGACAATAATGTAAGATAATTATAACACTAATGTGGGAAACCCAATGCCATAAACCATCCCGTAAAATCACCATTTTTATGGGTGGTATGTTTACCATCCGCTTTGTTGGTAGGTCTTTTTTTTTTGGGGCTGCCTACATTAATTAGAAGACTAATTATGTGCAGAGATATGTTGTATAGATATATTTTATCGGGTCTTCCATGGAATAAATTTCCAGGGAAGTTCTTGCTTTAGGGCATGGTTTCCCTCCAATTCTGGGGTGGTTGGAGCCCGATGGTACCTTCAACAGAAAAAAAACAAGATTGATGGTTTGAATGGATGACAAATTGCTAACATTCAAACCATTTAAATAGGTCTTTATCAACGGTACCACCTATTAAAATTGGAAAGTCACAAAAACGAATCCCTTACCCTCTGATACCTGAACGTAGCCATGAGAAAAAAAAAGTTCGCAAGAGTGCAAACAATTTAGCGGGTACATGAACCAGTCACGCTGTTTCTTCAGCTTGAACTTCTTCAGAGATTTGCTCTTCATGCATTTCTTCCAGGCGTTGAAGCAGAACTTCAGGCCTTTGGCCTCCTCCTCTTGCATTACAGCCATCATGGTCAGCTTCCCAGAGGATTTCCTGGTCGACTCACTGGAGCTTGGGAAAATCATGGGTAACCTACCCGGCCTGGTAAACGGCCATAGAAATAGTGAGTTGTCCCATTAAAAATTGTGATTTTCAATAGTTTTTTGTATGTTTACCAGAGGGTAAATGAACTAAATGATGGATGTTCTGCCAAATTTCACAACCAGAGTCCATTGCCTATCATCACATCCCACCCTTTCAGCTGCATCGCGGTTCATGAAAAACCATGGGTGGTGCGGTTAAGATTTGACCATTTACTGGAAAAACCAATCCAACGACTGAAGCGATAAAACATCCCATCACCTGAGCCGCGACCCAAGTCCTAAAAGGCCGATAAAATAAAATAAAAAAACATACTTTGTTGGAACCAAATACCCCCTGGTAAATTAACTTGTTGACCCTGAAAATCCACCAATTTCTAATGGTTTAACTAGTTTGAACCAACCCCGATGACTGTCAGGGTCGAACTGTTAATTTACCAGAGGGTATATCCCAGTATTTACCATAGATTTTCCCATGAAAATCATGGGGTTTTCCTGTAAAATTTCTCTTAAACCAATCCATTGAAAATGACCCAGTCGAAATAGTGGATTTTCCCATGAAAAATGGTGGATCTTTCCATAGTTATGTTAATTTACCAGGCCGGGTAAACCACCAAAAAAAAATGTGGTAACTCCAATTCCAGTGTTCCCCATGATCTGATTGAACATCAGCGCCGTTCTCAAGCCATCGATCTTCAGATCTTCATCCAAAGCATGCGACCTGACAGCGAAGACAGCGATCGAAAGAAAATTACTTTACTTCGGGTCTCCCTGACCTAAATGATTCTGATACCCAGATGCTCCATGTATGGTATATTTACCTACATGACTGGGTGATTATTAGGGCAAATGTTGGTAAATATTCCATACATGGAGTATATGGGATATAGTTTCTGACATATCATCTGGAATTATATATGTGAGGATATATCGATTCCCGATTTCTAGTGGATACAACTCAACGGGGAAACGAAAAAAAAAGTTGGATTGGCTTATAAAGCCATCTAACTATACGCACAGACCTCCGTGGGTTGCCAGGTGTTAGGTTTCGTCGTCTGGGAAATGCCAAAACACTGGCCCTGCACAGGTATTTGAGCATGTCGAAGGATAATCTTTGAACGCCGTTCTAATCTTCCGGGCAAACCATGTTTGGTCTTGCCATAACTATAGTTTCCAAGATTCATAACTTTGTGGTTTATCTAACTATAGGTATTATACATATGCATATGCATATATACATTTAGATACATAAAGTAGTTACATAGATATAGAGGGTTCCTGATAAAGAGGGTTATCCCTGAATCATCCGATTTATCATCGGAATTTGCCCAAAATCAACCCTCCATTTCTTTTGGGGTACCCCCTTGATAGAAATATGATGTACCATCTGGTAAACTAACATAGCGAACTGGAAAATCTCCATTCGAATGTAGGGAAATCATTGATTTCTATGGTCCATGTTCCAGTTCACACAAACTGTAACAAATTACCAGGCCAGGGTACCCTCTGGTAATTTAGCATAGCTAACTATGGAAAATCACCATCTATAATAGGTAAATTATCTACAATGTGGGGCCCCCCAGTTATAAGATGGTTTATAAACCCCATTAACTATAGTTATAAGTACCATAAACCATAGTTATTGGAGCTATAAACCAACTTAGCTATCTAGGGGGCCCTACTTTGTACCAATTGGTAATTTTCCAGTTCGCAAACTGTCACCAGAGGAAAATCCACCATTTTGCAAAAATCCTCAGCAACTTCAAGCGACAAGGTCCAGGCCAGAAAGGCCAAGTTCGCCAGGAAAGGATGCGGCAGGGACTTGATTTCCAGCAACTCGTCACAGCTCCGGAAACAGACCTGGGCTCTGGAGCTCGGCGACCCAGTTTTTTCACGGCGGCGGAATGGATTGTTCTATGCCATACAAAGTGGGGCCCCCGTTGATAGCTAAGTTGGTGAACATAACTCCAATGTCACTATGGTTTATGATACTTATAACGAACTAGTTAATGGGGATTATAAACCAACTTATAACTGGGGGGCCTCACATTGTTGTGGATGTTGTGGGAGAAGGGAATCACATTGGCAGTTTGATTCGCAACATTTCTGGATGTTTCATGATGTTTCACTATTATCACTGTTGGAGGAAAGGAATCTAAGGACGTCTGTGATTTCCAGACTGGCTGATCTGCGATTTCCATCGATTTCCAACCCCACCTCCTCTTGTCCATCGAACAAAATCTTGCAGATACCCTTTTCGCTGGAGGAGAAGAAAGTGCCTGCAGAGATCTGACGGATTTTTTAATGAAAATGACCCAGAATCTTGAAGGGAAATGTTACATCAAACTGCTCAATTCACTGGGAGAAACTACTTTTTTTTTGATGGTCTGAAGTAAATTATTCCTTGAACCAACCCTTTGTTTTGCTGGTTAAACTCCCATATATATATATATACCTAGGGTCATCTCATTGTGTTTTTTGGTTGTTGGTGTTTTTGCACGACCGTTGCATTCCACATCACAATTCGATAAGACGTCTGAGCAAGTGTGTGTGTGCGTAGAAGGTGTCTGTGTGTAAAAGCGTTTGTGCATAAAGACGTGTGTGTGTGTGAAAAAAACTTCTGTGTGTAAAGGCGTCTGTATATGTAAAGGCGTCTATGTGTAAAAACGGTTCTGCGAAAGAGCGTTTGTATGTAAAAGCGTCTGTGTGTAAAAGTGTCTGTGTTACATCTTCACATCTTACATCTTCTCCATCTTTTCTTTCCGTCCCTCACTCTCTTCCTACTACCCTGTCTCCTTCATACAGCCTCGCTCTTGCAATTTTTGTTCTCTTGCATTGCTGTCGTTCTGTATCAGTACACATGTTTCAATGCCTCTCTTCAGCTTTCATCTTAACATTTTGACATCTTGCCTCTTTCATCTTTCTGACAATCAGCTGCTACATTTCCCATCGCTATATCCCGCTATCATTGTCTTTTCTTCATTCTACTTACACCACATACTTCTTACATACTTATTACATTGTGTTTTTACTTACACCTGAGTAACTTGCTCCTCTACGCTCTCGGGCCATCCGTCGTCGAGTATTTACTCAGTTCGCCCCCCGTTCACGCATTTTGGGTGGCCAGGCAGCAAACTCATATTGGGGGTCTAAAAACACAGCACCACCATGATGGGTCAGTTCATACTCAGAAATATGTATATTGATATATATATATATATACGTATCTACATATCAGCTAATTAGATGATATTCGATTCACAACCTCCTTTCTAGTAGATCCTATAATGTGGGAGACCATAAAAAGAACCATTTATTTGGGGGATGGTATATACAGTATATACCACCCATAACAATGGTGATGACATCGGTCCCCATGGGTCCCCAATTTCTCCCCATCCATCCGCCTGGACGTTGACTCTTCTTCTCCCTGACGCGAATGCCCTTTTCGGGCTTCGATGGCATCTCTTGGTCCAGCTGTTGCTTCAAGGACCCGAAGAAACTCCATAGAGCCAACGCCTGCAGCTGCAGGGCCAACCATGGGACCCTTTTTGGGGATTTTTTGTGGCCCTTAAGGTGGGTATATTCCAATAGTCTAGTATATTTCAATGGTGATTCAATGGGATTAAATGGGATATATGATTTAATGGGAATATAATTGATATAATGGTCAATGGATGTCAATGGGAGATCTTCAGGATCCAATTGATGGATGGTACGTTAGTAGCATATGAGGCTATATGAATTCTGGGGATATGCCCTGAAATTTAGGCCTGAAAAATTGGCCTTATATATGGTAGGTACCTCCAATCAATCGGTTCCTGTTGCATGGCCATTGAATGTTTGTTGGGATAGGTTGGGATATGGACACCCCCGATCCTAGAACTATGTTGAAATATCGCCACCAGTTTTGTGGGGAAAATGGCTTGATCATGGATTAGTGGCTTCTCCAAATTTCCCTTGGTTTGTTGTCATAGTTGTCGCACTGTCGCAGATCTAGCCTCTGGTAAACTAACATGGCTATGGAAAATAGCCTTTGATAGATGAGTGACCGTTCCTAAAAATGCTGATTTTCAATAGTTATGTAACAGTTTACTGCATGGTTTGGATAAATAAAAATCAAAACTTGGTTGGTTGGGTAATGCAGTAAAGTAACCCTCAAAAACGATGCAGAACAGGTTTGAAAGCCCCAACTCTTCTAGTTGGATGTTACTCTTCCATCCAACTCTGGGGGTTGCTCTATAAATCCTCATAGATTGATAGGCGGATAGATAGGCCCCACAAAAATATGGTGACTTTGATAGAACGCTTATCTTTCGTTGATTTCCAGTAGATGGGTGTGTCCAGGGCACCCTTAAACCATAATTTGGTGTTAAAATTCAAAACCTCATATTTTCCCATTAGAACAACCACTAGGTGGTCCATATCCAATTCTTAAGACAAACCCAAATCACATATTGGTGGCATCTAATCCCAGTTCAAGTGGTAAATGGTTAAATGATACGTCATATTTACCCCATGAACCATCAACATGACCAGTATCAACCCATCACCATTCATCCAGCCCTTCCCTGCCTTGGACCTGCTGTCTAGCCATCTTCGAGAATTCTCATTTCGTCGTTGTCGCCAGTAGGCTCTCATGTCTTTGCACACCGCAGCCCAGGCGACGAAAAATCGCTTCCTCGTGGGTTTAGCCAAAGAAGAAGCGCATCCTTTTGAAAAATCTGAACGAGTGGTGAAAAAAAACATCTTAGATGGCAAGTTCAAAAGAAGTAATGCTGAAAGTGGACAATTTGCCATCTTTGGGACAACTTCCCCCTTTTGGAAAAGAAAAAATACCAATGAAACCAGAACTTCGTTCATGAAACCCGTCCTACCATTTAGGGAAAAAAAAAAACATACAAATGAAACCACTCCAGCTTCAAATCCAAGTCGAACACGAAGCCACTTTGGCCCATGGGATCTGGTCGGTGTGGTCGATGTGGTCGTTGTGGTCGTGAAACTGCAGGCACTTGAGGAATTTGAACTGGAAGATGCTGACTGATCTGACTGATCTGACTGATCTCCGGTCTTTTTGCCACGTTCACTTCCTGGAGCTGGAATTCAAGCATCAAAATATGGGATTTACCATGATTTGAGAGTTCAAAAGTTGGGATTGAAAAAAACATGGAAAAAAATAGGATCTTATCTGGTTGGTGGTATACCTACCCCTCTGAAAAATATGAGTTCGTCAGTTGGGATGATGACATTCCCAATATATGGGAACATCAAAAAATGTTCCAGTCACCAGCAACCAGTAGTTTTTGTACCTCCAACTTGTTGACCCATTCAGATTCTGGGCAAATTATAGTAATTCACTAACCTGAAATAAGACCATATTTGGATAATTCCCTATACATTCACCATTATTCCAGGCTTCGGGAGAACAGGCTGAGGGATCGTGATGAAATTGACCCAGAATCATATCTATTAGAATTTACCCAGATATATTCTACATATATTACATTATTATAGTTACTATTAACCCACTATTATAGTTACTTTTATGTATATATATATATATATATCCCAAGCAGTAAAAATCACCAGCACTTGGGATTTGACCCAAAAAAAGGGCTGGTGAACGATGGAACTCGCTGGGTTCCCAAGAATGATCTCCTCGGTGATTTTTTTTGGGACTGGGGACATCCTACGTTTTGGGCGGCTAAGAACCTACAATTAGTGAGGCGCCCGGCCATGATATCTAAGTTGGTGAACATAACTCCAATGTCACTATGGTTTATGATACTTCTAACGAACTAGTTACTGGGGCGAATCTAAACCAACTAACATCACTGGGGGGCCTCACATTGTACAAATCACCAATTTTGCTTTGCTGAAATCATCAAATCTTCTGAGTTTCTGCCCACATTTTCTGATTCCATCCCTAGTCTTGCCCTGAGGCGACCACCAGTTGTGTTTGTGGTGTTATAAACCTCATTAACTCGTTCGATATATCTACCATAAACCCAACCACGAAACTAGGCAAATAAAGTACCTATCATTAATTACTATATTCCGCATGTGTACAATATATGCATGTAAATAAATAAATAAATATATATATATATTATATATATATTATATATATTATATATATATTATATATATATTATATATATAATATATATATAATATTATATATATATATATGTATATTATATATATATACACATCATTTATTGGTTAAATCATAGTCGATCCCTGTTGTTGATAGTTAAATCAGTTAAATCCCCATAGTAAACAACGAAAAATCACCACGGCGACCCCCCAGGGACCCAGAAACGGTCCTGCTTCGCAGGAGTCTCGGGCTGCCGGAAATCACTCGCATGGCGAGGTGAAGTCTCACAGGCGCTGTGGAGCTGGGTGAAGGAGCTGGTGAGACGACTGACCATTGAAACCATCCCATGATTATATATATACATATATATATATATAGATATATATATATAGTTATTTGGGTTTAGATGTGGTTATAAAACTATGGTTACTATGGTTCAGCTAACAATTATGTAGTTAACCATATCAAACATAGCCTCTGGTAATTTAACGTAGCTATTGGAAATGGCCATTGAAATAGTTGATTTACCGTTCTTAAAAATGGTGATTGGCCATAGCTATGTTAAAAGATGTTAAAACAACCAGAGGGTAGGAGTCATTCAAAATAGTTTTAAAAAATTAGGAGTGATGTCAGTGATGTCTTCAAAATGTCTTTGAATCAATGACAGACTCATTGAACCCAGCAAATCTCCAGAATCAAAAGAGTCGTCCATGAACTTTTGGAAAAAATCTTCAGCAACCCAAAGAAAGATCGCCAAAGTTTATTTTCCAAGTCTCAGGATTGACAGTTGTGGCTGACAGTGTTCCTACCTATCCCAACTGATCATAGAAAATACCCCCAAGCGATGGGTACCCGAAACTCACAGCAGTCAGTTTCCCCAGTAAAACCAAAAGCCCTGGAACCAAAATAAATGTTTCCACCAGCGTTCTTGGATTTGCTAAAGGGGCTTTAAAAAAATTATCCCGGCAAGAGACCCCAAGCAGCGTGGGGGTGTGGGGAAAATGTATGATAATGTTGATGTTGATGTTGTTGATGATGATGATGATGATGATGTTGATGTTGATGATGTTGATGATGTTGTTGAGGAGGAAGATGATGATGTTGAGGATTATAATGTGGATGAGGAGGAGGACCGATCCCAAGACCGCGACAACCGTTTTGTGCGAGCCAAGACCAGTCGAAATGCCCTTGGACATGTCACAGGAGCCACTCTATACAGAAATTTACAGGTAAAATGCCGCAGACAAGCTGGAGCACCCTGATCAAGCACCGGCCTTTACACTTACCGTAAGAACCCCTCAGTGTGGACACACATTACTCGGGGAAAAATGTCCTGATCATCTCCCGCAAAATGCCAAAATCAGCGACAAATCGCAAATCCAAGTGACGAATTTCCACATTCAATGGCCATTTCAGGAACCTAAATTGGAGGTACCTACCATATATAAGGCCTATATAAGGCCTATGTAAGGGGATATACTCCCAAAATATGGCCTTATAAGGTACTAACGTACCTCGATAAATTGGATCCTGGAATTCCCATTGATGTTGGTTGCAAACCTATTTACTAACCCATTAATAATTTCAAATGCCCATTACTGCCCATTACATCCCAATATATCCCCATTCTCGTCGGTCTACTGGTAATTCCCAGGCTATCTTCAAATCATGTCCACTTTTTTTCAATTATATTCCCATTAAATCATATATCCCATTAAATCCCATTGAATCACCATTGAAATATACCACTATTGGAATATACCCACTTGACTTAACAGATCATTCCCACTTTTTTCAGCAAATTCTACTTGGAGTATCATCCCGCTTAGGAACTGGTGAAGCCTTGGCCATCGTCACCCATTGGATCTACGGGATAATCCTCCAAGAATATCCCATGGATTTTTCCCATAAACGATCGAAGCTATTGAAGTCATAAACATCCATGAAAACATAGTTATTGGAGACATAAACGATCTATAAACCTCAGCTATTGGCTATATATATATATATCTATCACACATCATTTCACCATCATTTATAGGGAAAACATCCGATTTTCCAACCCATCCAGATCCACCTCCGCCTGAATCAGGGCATCCAATCTCCCCTCCGCCCTTCGCAACGTGCTCAGCTCCGACCGTAGCTGCAGCGCCGCCCCGCTCTTCGCCGGCGGGGCCTCCCGGCGCTTCAACGGTGGCATGGAGGCGTTGGGGACCAGCTGCCCAGGCATGGGGGGCCCCTCCATGGCGAGACTCGGCAGAGAGTTTGCTTGGAAAATCGAGAAAAAGCCAGAAAACTTGAAGAAGTTGAAGGTAAAACATGGTAAAAACAATATACATATATATATTATATATATATTATATATAATATATTATATAATATATGTAATATAATGAATATTATATATATAATATAATGAATATTATATATATATAATTATATATATTATATATATAATTATATATATATATAATTATATATATTATATATAATTATATATATACACCTCTAAAAGCCCTACCTTCCCGGTGAAGATCTTCCTTTCACTCCAGTCCATTGAAATGGCAGATCCGCTGACTTTGTGTTTTTGGGAAAATGGGGAGTTGGAATGATCAGCTGGGAATGATGAACAATGAGCCCCCCTTGGGGAGATTTTGGCTTGTCATTTTGTAGACCAACTAGTCATGGCCCTTTTTAGAGAACTCCGCTCAGCTTGAAGCAGAAGAGTTCCGGGCTTGGATGGAAGATGGGTCTCAGTTGCCAGTAACACGTCAGTGGTTCCAACGGTACTTGCTGCGGCAAAAAAATGTTGGTATTCCATGCAAAAATGGGGCCATAACCCAACGAGATGGACCTCCCAAGTTTTTTTAACAGCTTTAACCCTTAATAACCTCATCTAAGATCAACCGTTTGTTTCCCAATTCGCCTATGAAATCAACCAACTTCGACACCCAAAAATGGATCACAGGAGCCATGCTCTGGGAGTCTGATCTCTAATTTTTCTAGGCGTTTAAATGAATATGGGGCAGAAACCACCAACTATACACACCAACATACAAGAAAATATGTTCATATATCACATACATATAATTAACATATATCATATATATATACATATATACATATATATATATATTATATATATATTATATATATATTATATATATATTATATATATATACTTCAAACAAGCATCCTGAACTGCTTTTCTCCGAGGTGTCATTCTGCGAAACTCGAAACAGGTGGTTGAAACGTTGCGGTGGAAACTGACTTCGGTCCGCGGCTGCACTTTGGCTTCTCCGCGATCGGAATTGTTGAGCAATAGGATCCACCATAAATGGCGATAGAAAAAATGGCTGGCTTATTGATTCACATTAACGTCACTAACGTATAAAAGAGTCCTAACGGGAAAAACCACTTTTTGTGTCTCAGAGTGTATCACTCCATTTTTTGACCAACATTGATAGAACCAATAATGTCCTTTTGGTAAAAATAGGTTTGGGCCGGGAGCTGGTATACCATCTATCATCACTATTCACCTGTTGTTAAACAAATAAACCTTCAAACCCCTCTATTTTCATCAACCAACCAATGGGAATTTGGGACATCTATGGATAGAACTGTGCTCTCAACTTATCTCATGATTTCTCACCAGGATCAGCGTGCGGCTTCTTCTCCGAGAGGTGCTTAACATTGTCCAAAAAACATAGGAACCATTCTGTATCGTTTCCCCAAATATTTACCAGTGAAAAAGCACAAAATCACCATCAGCAAATTTTAGTTTAAGTTCTCTTTAATCAACTGATTCAATTGATGAGCATCAGTCCACAGTCCTCAAAAGAAACAGCTAGTATCACCTTATCTTTCACCAGTAACCCATCATGTAGATCTGGCACTGCAAATCGGCACAGCCCAAGACAGCGAAAACTACATCACTGCTCAGCTGAATCCTTCCATGATCATCGCTTACATTGGTTATTGGTTAGGTTATCACTCAAATTCATCTAACATCATCTCACCATGTCACTTTTCGGGAACTTTTTTTGGGGTTGCCTTAAAAATCTCAAAAGTCGTGACCATTGATGGGGCGCATCTGCTCAACTCAACTGATTCCTTCGATGATTTCCTTTGGGACGCATCCCGTGGTGAGATTCCAGATGTGCGTCTCGCAATGGAAGGACTTGTAGAGTTTCATCGCGGTCCAGGCGATACAACAAATTGCAATCATCCTGAAAAAGCGCCGGAGGTGAGATTTTTTTGGCCGAAATGTTGATTTTGAATCAACAAGAATGATAATATATATATATATTACAATATGTATATAATATAGAATATATATAATATAATATATATAATTATATAATATATATATATATATATATATAATTATATATATAATATAATATTATATATATAATATATATAATATTATATATAATATATATAATATTATATATATATATAATATTATATCATATATATATAATATCATATATATAATATCAAATATATATAATATTATAGTTATATATAGTATTTTTTATATATCATTATACCAGCATGTGTACTTGTTTCATTTCACCAGCCAACCCGAATTGAAACACTAAAAAAAACGGCTCTTGGTCGACTAAAACCACCTTTGTTCGTGGTGATGTTATCCTATTGTTTCATGATCGAATCCCATGTCTGATGCTCAAATTCTCATGTCCATCGTTTCCGTGTTTTTCCATGGTGAAATGAGCAGTGTTCTACCACCCTTTTTGACATCTGTCGCTCACGGTCAGCGTGTTCAGAGTGTTCAAAACCCTGTGTCTGCGCCTTTATGTTGAGAATGGGATTTCCCCAAGGATTGTGATACCCTCTGGTAATTTAACATAGCTATTGAACATGACCATTGAAATAGTGGATTTACCCATGAAAAATAGTTATTTTCCATAGTTTTTGTATGTTTACCAGAGGGTATTCCCCATGATATTGGTGAGAATCATCCCCGAAATACTCATCCACCAATCACCAACCCTTTCTTTTCAAATAGATCCCCACATGTCCTAATTGGTGGTTGACCTACCCCTCTGAAAAATGATGGAGTTCGTCAGTTGGGATGATGAAATTCCAAATATATGGAAAAATAACCCATTCATGTTCCAAACCACCAACCAGTGTTTGATGGTTAAACCCCAAGCAAACCCTTTCTTCATGATGCTTAAGTCGGTGAAGTTCCCATTCAATCACGAGACTAACCCCCAACCCCCAACCCCTTCGAATGTTGATAATCTAGTGACTATTCATGGTGTTTCCCCATCATGTCCCATATGTTTTCCCACCATTTCCCCCATCATGTCCCCTATGTTTTCCCATCATTTTCCCATCACTTCCTCTATGTTTTCCCATCATTTTTCCATCACTTCCTCTATGTTTTCCCATCATTTTCCCATCACTTCCTCTATGTTTTCCCATCATTTCCCCATCACTTCCTCTATGTTTTCCCATCATTTTCCCATCACTTCCTCTATGTTTTCCCATCATTTTCCCATCACTTCCTCTATGTGTTCCCATCATTTTCCCATCACTTCCTCTATGTTTTCCCATCATTTTCCCTAGTTTTTGCCATGTTAAACCAGTGACCTCCCCCACCTTCTCCGTTCGCGCCATTCTCCAAGGCACTGGCCCAGCAGAATGGCCATGCCCTGTGCCCAGCCGATGGACCCAGCGCGCAGGGCGCACAGGAGACCCACGGCCATCGGAAGGATCTTCGCCAGGCAACTGATGAGGCCCAAAGCCATGGAGATCAACAGCTTCACCTGGGAAGATTTCACCAAGGAATGCTACCCGGCCTGGTAAACATACAAAAAGCTATTGAAAATGGCCATTGAAATAGTGGATTTTCCCATTAAACATGGTGATTTTCCATAGCTATGTTATTATAGGAATGCTATGTTAAATGGCCCATTTATAGATGGTTTACCTATTAAAAATTGTGATTTTCCATGGCTATGTTAGTCATAACCAGATGGTAATGGTCATACAATGTTAGGGAAAACTAGTTAGTAAATTGCTTATCGGGATTTGTTGGGGGTAAACAAACCCCAGTTACTAACCAGGAATCGCTAATCCTATGGCCCATCTAAGTGGAATGCTACTGCAAAGTGGGGCCCCCGTTTACGATAGCGTTCAGTTGGTGAACAAGTTAGCCCCAATAAGTATGGGTTATGGTACCTATAACTGTAGTTAATGGGGTTTATAAGCCCCAATAACTAGTTCGTTATATGCGTACCATAAACCATAGTGACATTGGAGTTATGTTCACCAACTTAGCTATCGTTTGGGGGCCCCACTTTGTACTGTGGATGAAAGAAATCATGAAATCCGATCAACCACCAAAAGGATGGCTGAAACTCTATAAATCATGGGATGTTTACCATCAACTGGTGCAGGATTTCGCAACCATCCACAGTATGAATGGTACATGAATGGTACATGAATGGTACATGAATGGTACATGAATGGTACATGAATGGTACATGAATGGTACATGAATGGTACATGAATGGTACATGAATGGTACATGAATGGTACATGGCACTTGAGATATGTGGCTGTTTTTTAACTTTGGTTGGTAGATATAAGTGGCAACATGAATGGTGGGTCCATGATGGTTAGATGGTGAACTAGATGGCTTATCTTATATTGCTGGTTCTATATGGCTGCAGGATGCGGCCCTCAGTCGATAGCGATGGAAGTTGAGATATGGCTGTGGCTGAATTCTAGTCTATGACCTGCAGAAACTGGAATGCTATGGGGGGTTAGATGATGGTTTTACATGGATTTAGATGATTAAAGATATTGCAACAAATATGGCTGTATATATATATATATGGGTCTGCATGCAAGAAATCCATGGATGCATCAAAAACGGTGTGAAACTATGGATGTAATGTGGCTGTATGGTTTTATATGGTTTTACAGTACATGGTTTCATAGGGATGTTTTATGATTTTTGGGGATTTATATAATGCTTCAACTCATGCATCAATGATCAGCTCAATTGATGTGGATTTCACTGAAAAATGCTGGATGCTTATCATGTTTTGGATGATTTTCACCTGAGCTAAGATGAGCCGGCCGTGGAATTGGTGGAAGTGTTGAACATGGGAAAATCCCTAGCAGAATATGCCTTTGATGTGGTTTTATAGCGGCTTTCATGTGGATCTACCCTCTGGTTATGACTAACGTGACTAACGTAGCGAACTGGAGAATCACCATTTGGAAATAGGTAAATCATAAAAAAAAAAACTATTTCTATGGGCCTCTAAAATAACTAAAAATAACCATGTTTAATAGCCATGCTATTAATAGGTAAATCACCATGTTTTTTCCCATTACCCTATGGTTTTGAATAGGTATACCATGGCTATGTTAGTCATAACCATAGGGAAATGGAAAAAAAAGCTGGGATTTTGATGAAATCTAAGCGGATCCGCCCGCTGCCAGTGAACCACTTTTCTTTGCTCCCACAATTGGAAAATCCCTGGGGTTTTAATATGGGTTTAGATGGTTTCATTATATGGTCTTCTATGGTTTTGTGATATGTTTTTATGTGGATATCATGGAAAGGTAATGGGGAAGCAATGGTCATATGAAATGGAAACTTCATGGGAGACTATAACCAACAATTGGAAACTGTTTGGAAAGCCCCAAATTTTCTTGGCATTGGCTTAGGATGTTCAAATGGATTGTGTTTACAAAGGCTACGTTAACGACAGCGAGACGTAGTCATCAATTGGGGCTTTTGACACTCCTCACCATCATCATCTTCCAGGGGTAATGCCTCCCAGCTATGTTTTTTGGTTGATCACCTCCATGAATTGGGTAAAAATACCCATTGGTAATACCTCCATGATAGATATATCACCCAATTATATCGATATATATATATATAACCTCCAATTATATACATAACCTCCATGAAGTTTATAAACCCAATTGGAGTTCTGTCGAAACCAACTTCGCGATCGATCGAACACGCGCTACGCCGCTACGGGTGAAGATCGATCGATCACCTGAAACTCACCCGGTCGGCGCCTTGCCAACATGGTGCAAGCGATCGAAGATGAGGCCGAAAAAGGACGCCTGGAAGTCTCAGTGGAACCAAGGCTGTCCATGGGATTTTTTTTGCCAAGCACTCGGAGTCCTTTCAAAACACGAAAAAAACAGGAGGGAGTTCTATGGATGTCTTCCATTCATGGCAAAAACCGGCCACTTTTGGGTGGCTCAACCACCATTGTGTCGTTTACCAATTCGTCCTTTTCCGGTGGGAGTTAAACCAGGGTCGAAAACACCACATAAAACGTTTCCACAGCTTCGGGCTTCGCCTGCAGCCAGAGTTGCACCACGTTTTCCAAGAAGACCTTGGAGATGGAGGTTAACAAGGCACGTTCACTCAGGCATCCTCCATCCTGGCACTGTGACTTTTCCCACGTGACTTTTTTCCCACGGGTCTTTGACAAAGTGTGGTGTTTTTGGCACATCGAGTGATATTATGGTTGTAATGGGGGTTATAATGGTGGTTATAATGGTGGTTATAATGGTGGCTAATAGTGATTAATAGTGATGAATACCTGACTAATAGTGATTAATAGTGATTAATGGTGATGATAATCCATGAATAGTGATTTATCACCAATTTTTGGGTGCTTAATAGATTAATGTAGGTAAAACGATGTCATAGACCACCCATGACTGGGAATGGTAAACATACCACCTATAAAAATGGTGAAGACTGGGGGCTGGTTTATTATTGTTTTACCCATATTACTGTTTTTGGTTTTCCATCTCACTGAGTGAGTAGCCTATATCCCGAATTATGAATTACCCACTTACTGACTGGGAAAAACCATATATATATATATATGTACTGGCTGGTGGTTTCAACCCCTCTGAAAAATATGAAAGTCAGTTAAGATCATTATTCCCAATATATGTGAAAATAAAAAATGTTCCAAACCACCAACCAGTATAATATATAATCATCACAGCGGTTCAACAAAGGTCCTTATGCACCATAACACACTGGTGAACAGGGATTACCCGTGGGCAATCAAACATGCTTTGGGAAATCTCCGAATTGAATGGTGGTTTATAGGTGTAGCTTATGGCTGGGCAAATCTTCCAAGTAAATGGGGGTTACCATATTTCAGTCTGATAATACTAGGCTATATATGCTATACTAGGCTATAATAATGGGATGATATCATCATATATCATCAGTTAAAATGCTCTGATACTGGACTTGGACAATCAATAAAACTTGCCACCATCAATGGGATGTCAAGAGATCCGCATTCGATCCGCTTCTTCGAAACTCCCGACATCTCCAGAATCAATGACGAAACTGATTTTCCGGCATCCGCCAATGATTCGATCGAATCAACAAAAAACCGGAGAAAAATCAGGTCTTTTCATGAAACTAAACATATGTCACCATGAAAAAAATCATCCAAACAAACAAACATATCCCAACACCAAAACAAAAACAACAACGAAATCATTCGCCCATCTGTTCAGTTTACTCTGTTTGATCCTTAAACCCCATCTTTGCTGGTTCAACCACCATATTTCATGACTGAAAAATCTCCGTATAAAAATATATCTACCCGGCCTGGTAATGACAAACATATAGCTATTAAAAATGGCCATTTATACTTGATTTTCCCATTAAAGATGGTGATTTCCCATAGATATGTTAGTTTACCAGAGTGTAATGTTCCTTTTTTCATGTGTAAACATTGCCAATCTTAGATACCTTGCAAGAAATGGCTTAAATTCTTAGCTGGTGAACGTAGATATTCCGACATTTATTGCAAAAGATTATGGTTGACCTATATATATATATATGGAATATCCCCACTTATATATTGGCAATGGTTTTGGAATCCATAAGCCATATAAACCCATATAAGTGGGGTTATTCCATTAGGTTAGTAGGATTAGAAACGCTAGCCATCCAGTTGGTTGAGATGTCCATGTCCCTGAAAAAATGCATAGAAAAATCCCCATTCTTACTGCTGCGTTAAAAACGTAGGGAATTTTCGGGAATGATCCATTTCATCATTAATTCCTAATGTCATCATCCCAGCAACCCATCCAGCAACCCTGCGTAAAACGCACCAGTAAGAATATATATGAGATTCCATTTCCATATGATATTCCCATGATCCCATATAGTAAGTCCCATAGAAAAACAACCCTTTACCATTATATTTCCATATGATATTTCTATTGGTGAAATGATGATTTTCAAGGTTGAACGGCAATTCTTCGGTCCCGCTCTCCTCCGCAGCTTTGTTCCAATCCTTGGCGCGAAAAAAAATAAAACACAAATCATCGAGGTCATAGCAATCTGGGGGTGTCCATCAATTCAATGGCCATTTCAGGAACCTAAATGGGAGGTACCTACCATATATAAGGCCTATATAAGGCCTATGTAAGGGAATATCCCCACAAAATATGGCCTTATATGGTACAGTACCTCCATTTTAGGATCCTGAAATTCCCATTGATCAATGGAGGTATCCCAAAATGGAGAAATGGATGGTTTATAATGGAAAATCCATGAACATACTTTTAAAATGCCAATAGTTGGATGGTTTATAATGGGATAATACATCTATAAATGATCCCAAAATGTATGTTTTATCATGGAAAATCCATCTATAAATGGATGATTAAGTGATTATACCTCATATTCAATGATAAAGTGGACACATGCATAGTTACATCTGAATATAGGTGGTTGCAAGTCGTAACTGATACGGAAAATCAATTGAAACTATGGCGCTCATATAAGTATAAGTGGTTATAAATACCCTATATTACTCCATGATAAATACTGCTGATGTTATTCCAATAGTGGTGTCATTCCAATTCTCGTGGTCAACTATTAACTTACAACTATTAACAACCATATTGATATTGTATATATATACCATCTGGTTATTTAACATAGCCATGGAAGATCACCATTTTTAATAGGTAAACCATCTATAATTCGACCATTTTCCATGGCTATGTTAAATAACCAGAGGGTATATATCCTGGATTATATCCCAATAGTAAATAGGATGCATTAACCAACCGTCGTAGTCGCAAAATAGAATTAAACATGTATAACTATTTATCAACAATAATAAACCCTAGTAATATTGTACCAACATGAACCAAGTATCACGGTCAATAATGATGATAAACATCATTTAAAAAAAAACAAAAACAATAACCCAACAAACCCCAGTTCTACATCCCAATATATGAACCATCATCATGGTAATAACCAGTACAAACATTGACTTGGACATCTACCACAACCTGTAGTTTCCAATACCCAATATCCAATCCCAGTTTCCATATCCAATCATTACCACGTCTATTAGAGATAGCAATATATGACATAACCCAATATTGATACCAACATCAGCCAAGTCTCGTGGTCAATAAACTCTATTATCCACCATCATCATTTCCGTAAACCAAGCTTCGCGGTCACAAATCAATGTTGACAATGTATATCTTTAGTTCAAAATGACAACAATAGATATACATAATCATATATCATATATCTTATATATCCGGAACAAAAAAAACATAATCACAATCATATATATGTATATAATATACACCATATCTCAACATCTACCCACCACCACGTTCCCCTCCAAGTGTTGTGGTCAATAATAATCCATAATGATTAGTAATATCTCAAATATCTCATAGTTGTAACTAACAGTTAATCAATTAATCATAGTAGTAATATCTTTATATAACTATTAACCATCATCATGTCCATGAATCAAGCTTCATGGTCACAAATCAATGTTGACAATATCTCAAAAAATCTCACAACATAAAATTTAACTATCAAACCATATTAACATCTCATAATATCCACATTTATTCACCATTAAACCATATTAACATCTCATAATATCCACATGTATTCACCATTAAACCATATTAACATCTGATAATATCTACATGTATTCACCATGAAACTATATTAACATCTCATAATATCTACTACATGTATTCACCATTAAACCATATTAACATCTCATAATATCCACATTTATTCACCATTTAACCATTAATGTGGGTAAAACAATAATAAACCATCCATTTGGAAATGGTTTATACCACCTATTTATGGTGATTTCGGGGATGGATTATTATTGTTTTAACCACCATTAAACCATATTAAACATTATTATTCACCTGACCATTAGCTTATGCATATTATTCACTGCTAGACACTAGATATCACCGTTACCTAGATATCTAATAATGTGATCGCAAAAAAAAACTGTTACTATCTATTAGATGTTACCATCATTTCACCATCATTTCACCATAATTTTCCAAAACTATTAAACCATATTAACCATTAAACCATATTAACATCTCATATCTACATTTATTCACCATTCAACCATATTAACATCTCATAATATCCACATGTATTCACCATTCAACCATATTAACATCTCATAATATCCACATTTATTCACCATTCAACCATATTAACATCTCATAATATCTACTACATGTATTCACCATTAAAACATATTAACATCTCATAATATCCACATGTATTCACCATTAAACCATATTAACATCTCATAATATCTACAATTATTCACCATTAAACCATATTAACATCTCATAATATCTACATTTGTTCACCATTAAACCATATTAACATCTCATAATATCCACATTTGTTCACCATTAAACCATATTAACATCTCATAATATCTACATTTATTCACCATTAAACCATATTAACATCTCATAATATCTACATTTATTCACCATTAAAACATATTAACATCTCATAATATCCACATGTATTCACCATTAAAACATATTAACATCTCATAATATCTACATTTGTTCACCATTAAACCATATTAACATCTCATAATATCTACATTTATTCACCATTAAACCATATTAACATCTCATAATATCCACATGTATTCACCATTAAAACATATTAACATCTCATAATATCTACATTTATTCACCATTAAACCATATTAACATCTCATAATATCCACATTAATTCACCATTCAACCATATTAACATCTCATAATATCCACATGTATTCACCATTCAACCATATTAACATCTCATAATACCCACATGTATTCACCAGTCAACCATATGAACATCTCATAATATCCACATGTATTCACCATTCAACCATATTAACATCTCATAATATCCACATTAATTCACCATTCAACCATATTAACATCTCATAATATCCACATTAATTCACCATTCAACCATATTAACATCTCATAATATCTACATTAATTCACCATTCAACCATATTAACATCTCATAATATCCACATTAATTCACCATTCAACCATATTAACATCTCATAATATCCACATGTATTCACCATTCAACCATATTAACATCTCATAATATCAACATTAATTCACCATTCAACCATATTAACATCTCATAATATCTACATTAATTCACCATTCAACCATATTAACATCTCATAATATCTACATTTATTCACCATTAAACCATATTAACATCTCATAATATCCACATGTATTCACCATTAAACCATATTAACATCTCATAATATCCACATTTATTCACCATTAAACCATATTGACATCTCATAATATCCACATTTATTCACCATTCAACCATATTAACATCTCATAATATCCACATGTATTCACCATTCAACCATATTAACATCTCATAATATCCACATTTATTCACCATTAAACCATTAATGTGGGTAAAACAATAATAAACCATCCATTTGGAAATGGCTTATACCACCCATTTATGGTGATTTCAGGGATGAATTATTATTGTTTTAACCACCATTAAACCATATTAAGCATTATTATTCACCTGACCATTAGCTTATGCATATTATTCACTGCTAGACACTAGATATCACCGTTACCTAGATATAATTATCTAATAATTTGATCGCAAAAAAAACTGTTACTATCTATTAGATATTACCATCATTTCACCATCATGTTCCACAACTATTAAACCATATTAACTATTATAAACATTTATAAACCATATTAACTTCTCATAATATGTACATGTATTCACCATTCAACTCATTTTCACCATCTTATTAAACCATCTTATTTTCCAGAACCCAAGCGTCGTGGTCCTGTTCCTCGTACCAATTCGCCACCGCTCCAAAGCCCGGAACATCCGCCGCCAGATCCAGGCGCTTCTCGCCGCTGTCCACAGCACCCAAGAGCTGCTGCGCCAGGGCGCTGAAGGACAGCACCAGGGACAGCAAACCTACCACGGGACGCAACAACGGGACCGTTGAACCAGGGAAAATGTGGGAAACTCCGGGAAAATGCGGGAAAATGTAGGGAAAATGTGGGAAAATGTGGGAAAAACGTAGAAGGTTTGGCGAAAATCTAAGGGGAAAATGTGGGACGTGGTTAAAATCTCGGGAAAAGGTTGGGAAAAATCATTGAGAAACGAAGGAAAATATGGGGAAACCTGCAGAAAATCTTGAAATGCATCCAATATTGCTGGGTGCAATATTATTTGCCAGGCGATGATGTTTGAGAGCATTCATCCCATATGCGATCTATCATCCCATCCACAACACATTGTTAATTTGCCACTTGACAAATGAATTTGCTGATTTATTTCACACAGATTCTCAATCATAGATGATGATATCCCATCTTTCTAACGAAAACATGTACCCTTTGGTAATTTCACGTAGCAAACTGGAAAATCACCATCTGTTGAATAGCTAAACCATCATAAATCATCTGTTTCTATCGGCCATCTATACCACAGCTATGTGAAATTATGTGAAATAGTGTTTTTTCAAGCGACACAAAAACGGTGTTTTTCGAACAAAAACGACTGCCCCCAACTGCCACGACAGGCATTTTAAGGCACCCCAGAAGTGCAGGGTGCGCACAATGGGCGCCAGAGGCCAAGCCCAACTCATCTCGAATGAAAAGGCGAAGTGCTCAGTGACCGGGATCTCCAAATCACAGAGGTACGCTTGCACTGGCAGGGCGCCTTGGTATCGGGGAACCTCCACGTTTTCGTTAAAAAAAACAGATGACCCTCTGGTAAACGTACAAAAAACTATGGAAAGATCCACCATGTTCAATGGGAAAATCCACTATAAATGGTCATTTTCAATAGCTATGTTAGTCATTACCAGAGGGTAATGGAATATACCCACAGGTATATGGAATATCCCCTAGGAATCCTATGATATATGGGATGAAATATGGTGTGTAGATGAATGGATTATAATCGACGGATCCGATTCGTGGGGCAAACAAAAACATTGATAGAGCAGAGCCGATGGACTTTTTCAAAAACACGTGTTGATAGTTGTGATAAGTGGACACAAATATCATTGGATTGGTTTAAGGGAAAATCGTAGCCGGAAACCATGGTTTTTACCATCAAATATAGGGCTTTCCTGTAAATTTTCCCATCATCCAATTCTATGAAAATAAGAATGTACATCAAAAATATGAATAGTCACGTCACATGATTGCCAATAATAAAGTGATTCAATAATTGTACCATGGCCCATTATCCAGCCAACCGCCTTGGCTATGGGAAGTGTTTTTGATGGGTCTCATTGAGTTCATCAAATGGTTTTTTTGATTGCGGTTTGCTGAATATTATTGAATATATTATTGCTGGTTGGTGGTTTGAACCCCTCTGAAAAATGATGGAGTGAAAGTCAGTTGGGATGATTTTTCATTCCCAAAATCATGGGAAAGTCATAAAATTCCATGGTTCCAAAGCACCAACCCAAGCAGTTTTTTTGGGTTCACACTACATGACATATAACATCATATAACAATGGAATGTTTATAGTCATAGTAGCCAGGCCGTTCTACGAGGAGATCACCACCACCTTTAAAAAGCAAACCAAAACTCTAAAATCAAAAATATGGCGTTGGTTTTTTTTACAAAAAACCTTAGGAAGCTTCGAAATCAGTTCAACCAGGGAGCCATCCGTGAACCAATCCGCATGTTCCAGCATGCCCAACCAGAAGCCTGGACTCAGAAAGATAGATTTCAGATCCTCATTGAGGGCCAACAAGATCTGCGCTTCGATCCATTTCGCTCGCAGCAACAAAGGAAGATACAACAAATAGCCCCACCAGGGCATGCCCTTCCTCGTGCCGCACAGCGCAAGCTGCTGGGGCTGCTGTTGGTGGATCGAAAACAGTTGGAAAGCAAAAAAAACATGTGCTGATGCTTCATGACAAACAACACGCATTAAAAATAAAAGATCTATCTATCTATATATATATAGAAATTTATATATATAGATATCATGAGATATCAAAATACATTATATAAATTATAGTCTATAGTAATATAGATTCCCCCAACTTCTGGTCGATATTTGCTCCCATTTTTCATGGCTCTCTCTCTTGTTTTCCTCGTTTTTCATGGGGGGTGTCCTAAGTCATGGGGCTACCCCTTTATCGCTCGCTGGATGCTTTATTTCATGGAAAATCATATCAACATAGATTACCCTCTGGTAATTTAACATAGCTATTGAAAATGACCATTTATAGTGAGTTTTCCCATAAAAAATTGTGGTTTTCCATAGTTATGTTAGTTTACCAGAGGGTAAAAATCATGGAAAATAAATTGATTATTGTTGAAATTGATTATTCAGGGGTACCCCATTTTAGGAAACCTTCGAAATTCCCAAGTTTCCTGCAGCTGGTCCAGTGAATGGCCAGCAACGGGATGATGGGAAACAGCAGCATGAAGCGCATCTCTCTACGCAGGATATGGCCTATCTTCTCGTGGTCGGGTTTGAAGGCATGCAGGGCCAACTCGTCCTTTGGTGGCCAATTCCGCCACGGAGGTACAGAGCTAAAATCACCCATGCTTCGCCAAAATAGCTACCATTTTACACTTTTCTATGGGTTCGAGCAACCCTAATTAGCTGGATGTTTTTCGAAAATCCACTGGAAAGTCTGGAAAGTTTGGTTTTAATATCCAGACTTACACAGAATCAACTGGAAGGTGTGGCTTCACCATCCCATATTGAGGAACTAATCGACAGGAAACTGTGCTGGTTGAGAAGCCTTTAGAATCATGATAGTTGGTGGTTAACCTAGACATAAACCCAAACATTTACCTGGGCTGGTTGGCTGGCCCGCCAGAAATTGCCAGAAATCTGGGTTATACTCACGTCTAACTATAGATGTATCCGCCATAAGCCATAAACCAGGCTGACATAGTGGATGGAAGAAATCCTGCACCAGTTGATAGGTGGTTCATCTCATTGTTTATCGGGTTTCAATATGTTTCAAGCATCCAATGTGGTGTAGGATTTCTTCCACAGTATCTACCATAAATAAACCCCACCAAACTAGCGATTTAGCTGGGACACCAGTAACCATCCCCTGTAAAACCACCCCTATAGTTAGCCGAGTTAGAAACTACGACACTAGTGACACTAGCTATCAAAAATCACATGTAAATCCGATTTTCCGTTGGTCAAAATAGTACAGTCAAAACATCATAACATGCCATCATTAACCAAGCATAAACCAAGCATAAAGCAACAAAAAACCAGCGAAAACCAACCTTCCCACAGCTTCCAAAAAGGAAGATCTCACCCCCAGCCATCCCAACTCATCTCCATCTCCGTCCTGCTTCAAGGGTGCGTAGAATTGCCCGAGGCTCGTGGCTTGGAAATCGCCACGCTGAAAGCCCGCGCGGATGCAGTGGAGACAGCAGCAGAGCTGGCCGCCACCGCAGATGAGGGCGACCAGAACGGCAACGCTCCAGGTCTGCCAGGGCCAGTGATCCTGGAAAAATATGGAAGATCTTCACCGGGTTTACCATGGGGTTTTAACCCCATGAAACAGGGAGTTTCCGGTGAAATTTGTCCCTTAACACCGGTATCCGTTGATTGGATGATAGATTTTGAAATGATCTCGATCAGAAAATATGATCACCTTGAAATCTGTTTGCCAGGGCCAGTAATCCTGATCTTTAAAGACGTACTTTAAAATCGATGTTTTCATGTGTTGATCTTGTCCAAAAAAACATTGGAAAAAAAAACATGATGGAAAGAAGTTGGCGGAAAAGCCCTGGTTATTTGCCATCGTATCTCAATTGAGGTTGATGAATGTGTCGATGGATTTTCGATGGGCATATTTGATGAGTTGATGGAATTGTTTTGTGTTTGATGGAAATATATATATATATATATAAATTATATATGATCGTATCAAATTATATATTGATGGAATTTATGTGTTTATGTATATGATCGTATCTCAATTGAGCTTATTGTTTTTTTGGACGGATGGGTGATATAAATGTTCATGGGAAATATATATGATCATCTTAGAAGATCTTTTGCAAAAGATGAATGATCCGGATGTTTTTCTGCGGTTTTCATGGGAAAAAATACGATCATCTTCAAATGAAAATGGATGAACATGGTTCATCTTGAGCTTAAATTTGAGATGTTCCTTGTCCTTTTCAGCTTTAGTCGCTATAATTTGAGGATTTCGCCGTCTCGCGTTAGATCTCGGGGATTCACCGATCATGAAGCATTCAGCCAGAGATTCACGATGAAAACCTGGTGATGACTTATGGCTACCAGCGGCATGATTGGAACATATTGGAACTGATTGGAATGCGAAAAGATCGAAAATCATCTCAAATGGAAAATGACATGGGGATGGATCAAAACCCTGGTACCTAGTGAACCCCAAAATAGCTGGTAAATGGATGTTCATCCCACTAAAAATGTATCTATAGGTATTGACCCATCCCCACATCCAGGATCATTGATGTCCTATGACATATGACCGATGAGATGATGAAAAGCCTGAAAGAACAGTTCTTTCAGGTGTAATTGTTTCTTGGCTTTACCACAATGCGTCGTCCAATAGTTCTATCATCATTGAAATCTAAGAGTACCCAGCGTTTTTTTGGCTGAAGAAGCCCATAAGCCCATGCTGTTGAGTGGTGATTTGCATCGATCAGCCCCGAAAAAATGAGGCCGTTTGATGTTGTTTGGGGCTAGCTTTTTGAAGGGAGCCAGGCTTGTGGTTGGGGCAACAACCAACTAATGGCAGATGTGGCAACCAGAAATTTTCAGAAAAAACTTGGCGATTCAATCAAAATAACATAACCATCAGTTACCCTCTGGTAAACGTACAAAAAACTATGGAAAGATCCACCATTTTTAATGGGAAAATCCACTATTTCGACTGGGCCATGGCATAGCTATGTTAGTCATTACCAGAGGGTAAGAGTTAGGATTCTGGAATTCTGGATGATAACTTAAAAACTGCTACCTGCTAAAAATGATGGAAATTGATGTCACCGCCAAGAATCTTCAGCTTCTCCATGTCTAACCTCCTCCAATCTCCGTCCCTCACGGGTGAGCGATGGCCAAAACCCCACGACAAACACCAGCGACGACGCACAGGTGACGAAGCTGCGAAGGCAACCCCTCAACAGGGCGGAAGAAATGGGGCCCTTCATCGTCTTCATCGCTGTAGCAAGGCGCCAGGCAATGGAGTGCTGGAACCTACTTGTCTTATGATATATATATATATGTACATATGTGTGTAGTGAATATGCATATTTACCGTGTATATATATAATGTATATATATATATACACAGTGTATATACATATATATATATATATATACATGTATATATATATAGTCATTAGATCGTATATTATACAGATAGAATTGAAGGGAAACTTGTGGACATGTTATGAACATACAGGAAAATCAACAATAAACATGGGACCTAGCCGTAGTTTCCACTGAAGAGAGGTCTTTGATGGAGGCACAGCAAGGATAGCGAGAAAACTGCGACTGCGACTCCCTGTCATGGTGGATGACACAAATGATGATGCGTTTCAGATTTCACGATGTTTCAAGAGACCTACAGTTCCTACATGGCTTTGCAGTTCCAGTTCAATAGCTATGGAAAGATCCACCATGGTTATAGCTGGCTAAATCCACGAACTTTCAATGGGCCATGGCTTCAAGTTCGCAAACTGTGAATGTCATTACCGGAGGGTAAGTATAGATATGTATAGGGTGAGTCCCCTATAATTCCCTATAGACTCACTATAAATTCCCCAGTTCTGGTGGATGTCCGATGGGATTTCCCTATAGATTCCCACATAAATCCACCTATGTTCCAGTGAACTGTTGGTGTTTTTTCATCACAAAAATCTTTGCAGTTCCCGAGCTTTGAGATAACCTCTGTGTTGAAAAATAGTTGAAAACCATGGTGGAAAACCATTGATTTTTTTCTAGTTCCACATCAACTTGTTTTATGTATCATGATGTAACATAAACCATAGTTACCCTCCGGTAATGACTAACATAGCTATTGAAGCCATGGCCCATTGAAAGTTCGTGGGTTTACCCATTTATAACATGGTGGATCTTTCCAGTTCGCTACGTTAGTTTACCAGAGGGTACTATAGGCATATCTACATTTATCTACCAGAAACCAATAAACTTCATATATCAATGGTTATATCCCAATATATCCCAATAGTATCTATTTCAATAATGTGGGTAAAACAATGGCATAAACAAATTATTTTGATTCCACCTTCGCTTCGCGAGTTATCTCCCAAAAGATGGTGAACCATCTCCTCAAAGATGTCTCAGGGCAGAAACGCTGACACACTTCACAAAAGTCTCACAAGAATCCACCAACTTGGTTGACCTACTTGGTTAATGGTGATTAATGGTGGTTAATGGTGATTAATGATGGTTAATGATGGTTGATGACTAATTATCTGGTTGGTGGTTGACCTACCCCTCTGAAAAATGATGGAGTGAGTTCGTCAGTTGGGATGATGTTTCATTCCCAACTGTTTCTGGAAAGTCAGAATCCATTCCATGGTTCCAGTCACCACCAACCAGTTATGGCTAAAGAATGTGAATACCGCCATGTTTAGAGCTGTAAAAGGCTGCTCAAAAGCTGCGCACTGAAAAATCGTCCAATGGAATCCGGGTCTGGTAAGAACCCCCCCCATTTTTCGTGTAAAAAATCTTACCATTAGTTCCATAGAACTCCCCATTTTGTTGATGTCTAGTGTGTTTTTTCATTGGCCAAGAGATTCATTGCCTCTCAATTTGACCTGGCCATGAACCTGGCCATCATGCCATCATGCCATCGCGAGTCTTTTCACAACTTCGAAGTTTCGGGCACTTTGTAGATCCGGTCACAGACCTTGGCCGTCTGCGCCATTTCTTTCACCTCGTGCACACGCACCTGGCAGCGAGGCGTGAATTAGAAAATTTAGCTGGCTGTTTTTAGAATTTTCTGTGACATTGACATGTTTATAAGAAATTGTTAAAATATGTAGAATGATATGGTTATAAGTTATAATTAAGTTATCAATTTCAAGTTATAATGATAGACATTTAAGACCCCTCATTATTAAATGATTAATTACAATATGTGTGTTAAATGATTTGTGTGTATCATCTATATGAATGTGTTTTTAAATGGGGTTTACAACCTATACTCTTTTGAAGACAAACATGAATGCAAAAAAAACGGGTCTGACAGATGAGTTTGATTGCCATTTAGGGGTTCCGTTCGGGTAGAAAACCATAGTCTTACGCAGAATCTATCTGACATCAACCCAGCAAATTGTGTAGACACCCTAAACATCTCCAAAACCAAAACCCACGTGGTTCTTCAGGACGTAGCATTTCATCATTCCCCCATTGTTCGACAAAATGTGGTAAACCCAATCACAAGACACCATAATTGGGGATAGTCTTACCACTCATTTCTGGCAAACATGGTGATAATTCATGATTGCGTTTACCACGTTACGAATGTTCACTGGTTAAATATCTACAGTAATGAATATCTGGTTGGTGGTTTCAGCCCCTCTGAAAAATATGAGTTCGTCAGTTGGGATCATTCTTCCCAACTGAATGGAAAGTCATAAAATTCATATTCCAAACCACCAACCAGATATATATATAATATTATATACAGTAATATATTGAGTCTGATTTAAACCATTTTTTCCACAATTCCCATTGGATTTGACTTTACTTAGACGGTCCATTTCCAGCAGTTTCCAGCCATTTTTCATGAGGAATCCTATCCCCCGCGTCAGGCTTGCCATGTCAGCACCAGCTGCAATGGCAATGGCCGTGGCGGCAGCATTGCCAAAGGTTCGTTTTTTGAAGTCGGGCCTTACGCCGCTGTAATTCAAAAACGGCAAGAATTTTTACCATCTGGTTAATAACCATTGATATATTGGATAAATATTATATTAAAGATATATTCAATATATGACAATGTTTTTACCATACGGTTAATATTGGGGTATATTGGGACATAACCATTGATATATGAAGTTTATTTCTATGGGCCATACCATGGGTATGTAACAAATAACCAGAGGGCAATTCTTTCAGTTGACGTGCACCGGAATTCAAGTGTGGAAGAATCATAAAACTTAGAGTGAAAACCAGCTGTATACCTGTGTTTCGCGACCCCAAAAAGTTGCAGAGAAACAAATTCCAATACCTCTTTTTCGCAACCCCCCAAAGTTGCAGAGAAGTAAGTTCCAATTTTAAAAAAACATCTGGTAAAATCCAAGCTGTTCCAAAACTTCTCTGGGGTTGCTACACATGGTGGAAAAAAAAAGTAGTAGACATCCAGCCCCAAAAACCCTGCCCTTCCGAAGTTCCGAGCACCCCAACTCCCCCAAAATGCTCCCAATGAATCGCTTGCGCGAGGCACCAATCAGCATGGGAGAAGGCCTCCATGGATTGATAGACCCGGCCAGTCATCGGGGGTTGGTTCAGAGTAGTGAGTTTCCTCTAATAATTGGTGATAAAATCAGGGTCAACAAGTTAATTTACAAGTCATCAGGGCCGGGTAAACGTAGCATGGAAAGTGGAAAATCCCGAAAATATGAATGTTCTTCTTGGAAGACTTGGAAGATTTGAGTTTGCTGTCAACCCTGGAGTTTCATAAACCCCGTTGGCATCCTCCTGACACCATGGAGTAGTATTGTGAAAACAGAACGGAGCAGCGACCAGGAAAAAACACCCTTGAGGTGGAAAAAAACCTGGCCGATGCCCAAAACCAGAGCCACTCATGGACCCAGGCCCCGCTGCACAAACCCCAGAGGCCAAGAGAAGAAAAATTAAGAGGCATGCAGGCCAAATGCCCGACACAGCTTGGCCGAGTCAGGGCCAGCCAAAGATGGTCGGAAAAAGCAAGGATGCCTCTCACTGCCTCAGCAAAAAGCGGCCCGCACGCAAGGGTCGAAGACAACGAAGACCAGAAGAGATCGACGTGGCCATCCCAGCCGGAGTCCGGCAAGCCATCCGCACAACGACCAAAGCTCAAGCAACGAGCTCAGCACGGCGCCGCAGCGCAGCACGGCCCCTCCAGCTACGCACCAGCACGCAGGTTTCCTGCAACAAGGTGGGCCCGCCTGCGCCGCCTCCAGCAGCGCGGCTGATGTGAGCCAAGGCTTGGGCCGCCTCCGGCGCCCAAGCGCCCGTGGTTTCAATCACCATGGGGAGGAAGGTCACGTGCTGGGCTGCGCATGCATCAGCTGTGTCCAGGTGCCGGCGCTTGTAAGCACCATATGCCTCCGCAGCAGAAGTGTTTCCTGAACCACCAAGGGCGTCCAACCGCTGGGGTGCCGTGACGGCAAAGTCAAGTGCAGTTGGGCGTCCAAGGAAGGACGGGAGAAACACATCCGCAGGGCGGCGTCGGGCACTGGCCGCATCATCAGGTCGTTGTGGGAGAAGCAGGCCAGCCTTCTCACGCTCAGGGCGAAGACATCCTCGTTCGGCCCAACTGTGAACCAGGTCACGAAGGGCGTTGTGGCGAAGTGTACGCTCCCCACCAGCCATGCACATGCCAGCATGGTACCCATGCGTGTCCAGAATGGCATCGCATTTGGGGCACCATGTGTCGGCAGCAGCTTCTGCAATGCCCAGACGGACCCGGATCTCAGCCACGAACACCGCTGGCTCCATGCGTGTGCGGCCGGACGGCGCACAGGTCAGAAAGGCCCGAGCACCAGGCGTTGCCTCCGACAACAACGTGGCTTTGCCAACAGCGGAAGTTGCGTGGAGTTGGGCCTGCCACCCAGCACCATCTATTCTGCGGCTGAGGTCCTTCTGCGTGAGCCCCAAGGCAGCGGCGGCAGTGAGCTGCTGAGTTGGGTCCAGGCAAGCGTTGAGTGCCGACAAAGCGGCGGCCACATCTCCAGAATGGTCTAACCAGTAGCCGCCATCAAGCTCACCACAGAGTCGGGCACAAGCGCCAACTGAGGCAAGGTAGGCACCTGGCGCATGGACCTTAGTGGAGCGGAGCCCCAGGCCGGCTTGGCCCAAGCCACGGCTTGCTTGTTGCCACGCAGAAGCCTCAACATGCAGACCAGTGAAGGAGCTGAAACATTCTTGCACCAGGTAGTCAAACTGTTCCAATGCAGTCTCGTGCCCAGCGGGTGGGCAGCACCGCATGGTATGCACGAGCCTCGCGTAACCAGCGGAAGCTCGCAGCAGCCGAAGGGCAACCTGTGGATCTTCAAGTGCACCAATGGCTTCCAAAAGTTTGCGGGCACCCTCAACTCGACCAGTGGCATGCCTTTGCAAATACTCGGGCCCACCAATGCCAGCCCCGAGAAATTCAAAGTCACGGAGAATGCGATTGTTGCCATCGGAAGTGCTCACAAGTTGGGATGGTAGCTTGGCCGCAATGGCCGCGGCAGACGTCATGCCCACAGCGATGGCCTCACTCTTGCCCAAGTTCAACACTAAGCCAACTCGACCAGCAGCCTGCTGAAGTTGAGACAGGGCAGCTGTCACCGCATCAATGGGCCCAGCCAGCACCCCATCGTCCAAGTAGAACACCGAAAAGTCCAAGGCGGTGGTCCGAAGCGCTGCAGCCAGGGGATGGAGAGCAGCCGCAAAGAGCAAGGGTCCCAAGGGATCCCCTTGCTGGACTCCGCTGTTGGACTGGAGGACCGTGTCTCCGAACTGGAGGTTGGTGGCGTGCTGGTAGCACCACGTGCTCCAGCGGGCCAGAGCGGGAAACTTGTCCCGGGCCTGTTGTAAGACCACATCACGGCTGACAGTGTTGAAGGCGTTCTGGAAATCAACCTTCACCACGACCGAGTCGTGCGAAGCGGCATGGCGGCTGACCCAAGCTCGCAGGCCATGGACCGCAGCTTCAGCTCCGCCCGGCACTGCAACACCTGCTTGGGCAGGCCAGAAGTGGTCCCGGGCCTCAGGCCGCACCGCTTGCATGAGGCATTTGCCGGTCAGGCGGCGAAGAAGCTCGCCTACCGCTATTGGGCGGATACCGCCAGACGGCTTGGGCAAAGCCACCAGCCCCGCACCAGCGAGCAGTGGAGCAATGCTTGGACAAGCCCGCCCTTGGGCCAGGAGGTTCACAACCGCGGTAAGCTGGTCCAGGAGCCCGACGCCATGCCCCACAGCATCCAAGACGTGCTGCACGCGGAGGCCACTAGGCCCCGGCGCCGTGTCTGAAGGGAAGCGGCGAAGGGCTTGCGTCACCGCATCGACATCGAACCCGGGCGCCAACGGCAAGCTCTCCAACGCAGGGACGACTGGTGCTGCAGATGTGGGGTGGAGGGCGCGCAGGGCTGCAACTGTTGCCTGGGAGTGGTCGCAGAGACCGTGCGAAAGCAAGGCTGTGCAGGCCTTCTTGTCGAAGCCTTCTCTGGCAAGGCCGGTGGCGAAGTCCCGCTTCTGCTCCGCCGTCATGTCACGGCCATGGGGCCGCTGCGGCTGAGGCCGACTGGCCCACAAAGAGGCCCGCTCGCCATCATTCCAACGCTTGAGGCGTTCGATGGTGAAGGCGGCTGCGGTGCGCTGATGTTTCCGGCCACCCCGGCGGGGGCTGCATAGCACACATTTGGGCAGCATAATAAGTAAATGAACCCAAGCGGCCTCATCGTTGTATTCAGCCACCGCCGCACATGCCCGAGTCAGTGCTTGCCCCCAAGCATAGCGGGCGCTAGGGGGAACATGCCGCAGAGTTGGCGTGTAGCTGCACTGGATCTCGGCTAAGGACGGAAGAGGGCCATCAGTGTCCCTGGGGCCGCTCCCGACCGCACCGCCCACAGCCCGAGCAGCAGGCCTGCACGTGGGATGGATGCCGAAGCGAGTGGACACAGACAACCCGCGCACCAAGCACTGCGGCAAAGAGCGATCTTGAAGCCAAGCCGAAGGAACCTGACCACTGAGCGAGCCCGCCAAATGAGCATCTACATGTGCTCGCAGGGTGCTGTCGGAGGTCCACCCACGGGCGGAGTTAGCATCCGCACAAGGGCAACCGCCCACCGGGCAGAAGAGCCGCCTAGGAGCAGCAGGACTGCCGGGGTCGACCTCCATCGCATCAGCCCCTCCAGCGCCTTCCGGCGGCCGCCGCCGGGGGCGCTCCCCACCAACGGGAGTGCCCGGAGCAGGGACCATGGCTCAACAGAAACCAATGCTTTCGCTGTTTGATAGACAAAAAATAATTGGGAGGCTACCATAAAAAAGTACTAGATGAAATGACTATTGGAGGAGTAACCCCCCCTGAATTTTCATAAACCATGGTGAGACGTCTCCTCCTGGGTTGACATTACCAGCGAAAACCCAAAGTGGTTGATGTCCAATCTTCATTGTCCACACTCCTGGGGGTCTTTTTTGTTTCAACAAACAGAAACTCATGATGTTCAAGCTGCAAGAATATTCACTGGTTGGTGGTATACCAAAACCCCTCCGAAAAATGATGGAGTAAGTCAGTATCATTCTTCCCAACTGAATGGAAAGTCATAATCCATTCATGTTCCAGTCACCACCAACCAGGTATTATTATTATTGGGTTTTTCATTTGACAAGTTCTTGATCATTGATTAATCCACTGGAAAATGTGATGTCCAAATTCCAAATTGATCATTTTTACCAAGAAACAAGTGGAAGAAGTGGAAGTTTGAGCAGCATGTGGAGCACCGCATCAACGAGGGACATTTTTGGTGGATGTGGGGGTCCGTCGCTCCATAGCTCTACCGAGAGCTGAAGATGTGTTACATAGGCTATGTGTCCGGTAAAATTGGGATATACCCTCTGGTTATTTAGCATAGCCATGGTATAGATGGCCCATTTATAAATGGTTTACCTATCAAAAATGGTGATTTTCCATGGCTATGTTAGTCATAACCAGATGCTACTGAGATTGACCAACCATAAAAGCGGATACCAAAAAAAACATGTTGTTACTTTAAACATCTTTGAACAAACCAAAAAAAACGAATTGAACTACTGGTGTCCCAGAAAATGGGTCTGGATCATGATTTTTCACACTTGGATAGCCATGAAAATTTGTTCTACGTTCCAGATTTGGGGACCTATCAAAATTGCATTGGTGTTTTTGGGGAAACCTGAGTCTCCCACTGCGTTCTTGAAACTAATTCCTGGCGCATGGACGGCACATGACGGCACATCTAATGCGTAGCAATTCGCAGCACGTCTCCATGGGTCTCAACAAATCCGTTCTTGTGGGATATGACTGCAATATATGCTTCCTAGGTTAGGGTAGGTCAAGAAACAAATCAGCAGCCAGCCATCAGTTATATCAATTACCCTCTGGTTATTTAATATAGCTATGGAAAATGACCCATTTATAGATGATGTACCTATTAAAAGTGATTATTTTCCATGGCTATGTTAGATAACCAAAGGGTAGTTGTCCTTTTTTTTTAGTTCAACACCAAAGCCAGGGAGACGCCACAGTGCCGCAGCAGAGTGAGGTTCTGCTCCAAGTCTTTCGCGAAGCCAATGCCCGGATCCAGCCTGCTGGCAACGACCCGCAGGGAAGTCATTCCCCAAAAATCCAAAGGTTTTCATCACAATGTGGGCCCCGTTGTGATGTGAACGTTGGTTAACAAGTTAGCCCCAATAACTAGTTCGTTATTTGCGTACCATAAACCATAGTGACATTGGAGTTATAAACCAACTTAGCTATCTAGGGGGCCCCACTTTGTACAGCTTTTTTGGGTGTATAATCCAATCTGATAAGTTCGTTTTCCTCCACCATTAACCGTAGATTTTGGTTGCAAACTAAGTTTAAGTTTGTTACCAAAAATCTTTTTTTTAATGCCGTTGTTGGTGGCTAAAACATCATAAAAACACCGTAAATCTGGCTGATTTACACTAATTCACTAACCTAAAAATGACTCTTATCATAGCCTATGGATCCATGGCCACTGTCTGAGAAGGTACTGTACTTAACCCTCCTTAAATTATAGTAAATTATACCCCAGTCCCACTTCCTTGCAGAAGGTACAACTGGATCCATAGGGATACCCTCTGGTAATTTAGCATAGCTATTGAAAATGGCCATAGAAATAGTGGATTTACCCATAAAAAATGGTGATTTTCCATAGCTATGTTAAATTACCATAGGGATACGGTCATGTGGAGATGACTCCCCTCACCTTCACCATGATTCTAGTGACGCTTAAGCCGACGTGAGTCGAGGTCACTTATAATTCAGCCAGATACAGTTTTCCCATTGTATCACCACTACATCCCCATATGTATATATATATACTATTATACATATATTTATATATCATATCCTATATATATATGTATATTATATCCTATGTATGTATATGTATATACATATATATATTATCCTATATATTCCTATAAAAAATGTTGGCTTCCCCATTCTTGTTGCTGAAATCCTGATCATGTCCCATGGAAATATTCCAGAAACTTAGGATCGGCCGCTTGGTTTTGTAGAAATAAACCAGACTGGTTGGTGGTTGACCTACCCCTCTGAAAAATATGAAAGTCAAATGGGAGTAGTATTCCCAATATATGGAAACATAGAAAATGTTCCAAACCACCAACCAGCAGAAAATAGCTCTGAACATCTTGGAAAAAAAAAAAAACAAAATTCCATGCTGTGGATTTTCCAAATCCAGAAAAAAAAAAACACTATTTCTGAGTCCGCGTCACTTTCCCATGGAAAAACATGTTCCAAGTCAATGGACCCATCCCCTTTTCCAACCTCTCCCCCTCCGTGGGGCACATGATATTCCAACTCGGAACGCCCGCGGCTTCCGCTTTTCGCCGTTGTCGAAGTAGGTGATCGCCCACCTGTTGGATTTCACCAAGTTTAACCGTCGGATTTCACCAAAAGATGTGGTTTGTATCACGAAGAACTGCTGGAATAAATAAATGTGAAAATTACATGGAAAATCATGGAAAATCTCTGGAGTTCATGGAATATGAGTGGGATATTCATTGGAATATTGGTTAATACATGTAAAAATACCATGTTTGTAATGAAATTCGTGGCGATCTGGGCAATCCCCAGAATAAACTGTGGATTTTCCAGCAAACCATGTTTGATTTTTCTTTTGGTTGGTGGAAATGTTGGAAAATCATCAAAACAAATGGGGCTTTCACCCATAGAACTTTCGTTTTGGGCACAAAAAAAACGGGTGGGTACCGAACCAAAAATGTAGATCCTAGATACGCCATGGTGCAAGATTTACCTACATTTACCCCAAAAATCGCCCAGTTTTGTACAATGTGAGGCCCCCCAGTGATGTTAGTTGGTTTATAAGCCCCAGTAACTATAGTTATAAGATGTTATAAGTACCATAAACCATAGTGACATTGGAGTTATTTGCACCAACTTAGATATCGAACGGGGGCCTCACATTGTAGGTGTGCATATTCCAGCACCATGGTTGGCATCTGGGGATATGAAGTGGAAGATTCCCTTCGGATTTTTGTTGGTTTTCCATGAAACTCCGCCCTGCACCAGGGTCCAATTCCAGAAGGCGAACGCTGTTCCAACTGTGCCTCATCCACGACGGAAGTGTAGACTGCCAAGGAATTCATAGTTTGAGGCGTTCCTTTCCTCGGCGCCAACGCAAGCAGCTAACATCTCCAGTTAGACACAAGTACTTGTTGATTCATTCGCATGGCTGACCTTATCAGATACCCTGCAAGAAAATCGAAAAAAAAAGATGGCTTGGGCATTGGAATCCCATTTTCCCATATTGATTCCATTCCATCACATCTGTAACTTGAACATCACCAACCTCCGTTAACAAAAAAAACCTGTTATTGTCGAAAATTTCCAGAACTTCACCCATCATCCGAACTTCTTGGGGCACACCCCGGGTTTTCCCGGGTTTCCCCGGCATGTGCATCAGGATGATAGGTGCCAGGAACTCCTTTGCCACGTCAAACATCGCGCTATCGAAGTCTCCACCAGACCTCCGTAACGGAGTTCGCGAGCTAAGGCGGCTTGGAAGGCGTCGGGATTTGATAGCTGATACCCTCTGGTAATTTAACATATATAGCTATGGAAAATGACCATTTATAGTGGATTTTCCCATTAATCATGGTGATTTTCCATAGCTACGTTAAATTACCAGAGGGTAGATGATCAAACAATTCTGATGAAAGTCTTTTTCGACCGAGTTCTTCCCGAAAATCATCGCAGCTTGCTTTCCTTCGCTGAGTCCCCCGACACATCGTTGATCCAATCCTCAGTCGTCAAGGAACATGTTTCCCCTTGAAATTGCCCTTTTAGAAAGGGGTCCCATCCCCCAATATGTAGACTTAAAGAAATGACTAAACTAGCCTCTGGCCATGGGAAATGGCCCATTTATAGAGGTTTACCTATTAAAAATGGTGATTTTCCATGGCTATGTTAAATAACCAGATGGTATATCAGATTTTCTTGATTATACATCCCATCCCATAAAAATATCTCCATTTTAGAATCCTCTTGATTTACATCTGGAACATGTCAAAACGAAGTGATGTGGCCAGGGTCAGCCCCCGCTTCAATCGCAGCTTTGGCGACGGCTGCCTCCACAGGGACGTCATAAAATGCGTTTGGTCAGTATCTCTAGCATCGATTTTTCAACCAACAACTGGAACAAGGAGATAGTACCACATCTAATTTGAATAGATTTAAATAGATATATATATATAATATTATGTTATATGTGTGGTAACATACTTGGACTTTACATGCCTGCATCTTTTTGGGTATCGCTATAGGTTATGTCCCGGAAGACTCCGAAAATAGGGCACCATTTGGCCATCCGTCTGGGTTCTATGCTGGATTTGACGCTGAAAAACGATAGAATACATGGATGATCCCTGATAATACGAGCTATGAAAGGGACATATCCCTGACTTGATGACATAGAGTAGATCGCAGCCCCTAAAGCTGCCTTAAGAAGACAACGTTGTGTTCTTTCAAATTACCATTTGCTCGCTGAAAAAGCGTGCCTTGTCGTGAAAAATATCATCATTCATCATGTTCTGGCTAAAAAAGATGCGTTTTGGCAAACGTTTCAAAGCCTTGTTTGAAACGTGCAGCTACAGAGCAGTCGTCAGAAAAACGGCTACTGGATGAAAAGCTCATGTAAAGTCATTAGTTACTGGTTGGTGGTTGACCTACCCCTCTGAAAAATATGAAAGTCAAATGGGATTATTGTTCCAATATATGGAAAAAATTAATTCATGTTCCAAACCACCAACCAGATATATATAATATTATATACAGTAATATATTGAGTCTCATTTAAACCATTTTTTCCACCATTCCCATTGGATAAGTCATTAGTTACATAAGAATTCACATGTTCTGGCTAAAATCTTCCCCCATCTTCCGCCCAAAAAAAACGGCACGCCTTGCGTGTATCGATGCTGATTGTGGCATCCACACCAGCCTACCAGGACGTGGAGGGTGTAAAAAAAAACAGCGGATGAGCCAACAAAATACCATGGAACATACAGGATGGGGCCCCCCAAGATAGCTAAGTTGGTTTATAAATCATTATACCCCCCCATTAACTATAGTTATATCTAGCATAAACCATTGTTAAACCACTTATAAACCAACTTAGCTATCTTGGGGGGCCCCACCTTGTACCCTCCAGTGAATTGACATAGCTATGGAAAAGCCACGGTTTGAAGATGAAAATGATCTAGAAATGGTTGGTGTCCCATAGAAAGTTAATTTTACTATACAGGCTGATATTTTCGGATATTTAACCTATGGGATATTTAGCTCATGGGACATGTAACAATAACTACTTAACCACTCAAAGGGAATATTTTGTGAGAATATCTTTATTGAATAGAATTGGGCAAATATAACATCCCACCTATAATATCTATTAGAACCTAAGTGGCGCCAGTTTATAAAATGACAAACCTCCCTGGTTTGTAAGGGTTTATTACGAGGGGGATGATACAACCAAGATATGATTTGGGTGTCCTAAAATGTTATTCTCTCTCTTTCAACGACGGGATGGACCGCCCTGGGGTGTAAAAGGCTCAGTTTTTCTGAACTTACATCATGTTGGGACCCCATACACGGAATGTGTAATGTTGGGGTGATGAGAGCATACCCATCATTATAACCATGATTGACGATATTTTAACCATGGCTAACCATTATCAACCATATCAAAATCGATTTCAACCATATGATCGGATTGATGTGCCAAACCCAATCACAAACCATCCCCGAAATCACCATAAATAGACAAAATAGGTGGTCTAAACTATCCCCGAAATGGTAGGTTCTTGATTGGGTTGCCCACATTATGTGTATATATATATAATTATATATATATAATTATATATATATATGTTATAGAAAAAAAACGTGTGAAACCCCGTTGTTTGAAGATGCATCCCATATGGCAGTACATAGTTGTGGTAAACATGTTCAAACTTTGTTGCCAGAACCGTCAACTACACATTTTGACGAAGAATGGGTTTGGACCCCCATACCATGGAACTAGTTCCTACAATGTGAGGCCCCACAGTGATGTTAGTTGGTTAACAAAAGCCCCAGTAACTATAGTTATTTGCGTACCATAAACCATAGTGACCTTGGAGTTATGTTCACCAACTTAGATATCGAACGGGGGCCTCACATTGCATTATTTTCAATCATCCTTTTGGTGGTAAAAATCCATAAAAATCCATACCATGGAACTAGTTCCTACCTTCTTTTCGGAGAGCTTACTTCAGCCAATAAAAAAAACATCTGTTTCGGGTTGGAGGGTTGGAATCCTGACATTCCCCTATGGGTTGGAAAAAAAACTCGGCATATCCACATAATTTCAATCCACCAAACCAACAGTTCATCATTGGTTGCTGAAAGTGTATTGTTGTTGTTGTTTTCCTAGAAACTGTTCACGTCGATTTTATAGACTTGTAGTGTTGTGTCCTAATTATCCAGGTCATTCATTCAAGACAAGTAAATGTTGTGTTCCAATTCCTACTATATCCACAATATTAGTGGCTACAGTATATATATATATACATATTCATATATCCCCAGGATATCTCCGTTTACCCCATCCCTATCCATCCTTGAAATGTGCTTTTCTCATATACAGTTGGGTATGCATAAAATACTCCCATGAATGCCTCATTTTTTGATGGTGAAAAAAGTATTGTGTCCTTCCCGTATTTTTTCAAACCCTATTCTGATATGTTTCCATCGGTTTCAGTGCTTTCAAGGGCCGCCACGCAGTCGCCTCCCGAATACCTTTGATCACACGCACCACCCTCGTCACCTATTGCCAGGGAAGGCCCAACTGGACACTAGGCATGGAATTTCCATTGGGAAAACGGTGGGAAAATGATTGGAAACTAGCACGCCCCTAGCTGCGCTAGCGTACTAGAAACTGACCTCTCCACATCATCATCATCATCATCATCATCATCCTCGTCGTCATCATCATCATCATCATCACAATGGTTCATAGTTGGGATATCTTTCTATCATCATCTATCCTCCATTTTTTTGGTTCATTGTTTCTATGATCATCATACTCATCATCATCATATCTTGATTGGTTTCAACCATCCTCACCCTTCCAGCAGCTGCAACGGGGGAACAGTCCACCCTCCACAAGTTCAACCACGAAAGTTATACAGGGGATTCAACCAACCACGGAAGACCCCGGGCCGTAACCACGACAAGGAAAAATGCAACCACCACAAGGTTAGGATGCTTTTGTTTGGATAAAGGGTCACCTTTGTTTCTACTGGGCCTCTAATTTAGCTCAGGCCGGAGGTAGCTGGAAGCTAGAAACAAAGGCGGCCTTTGTCTGGCCGTGAGTAGCTGGAAGCTAAAACAAAGGCGGCCTTTGTCTGGCCGTGAGTAGCGGGAAGCTAAAACAAAGGCGGCCTTTGTCTGGCCGTGAGTAGCGGGAAGCTAGAAGTCTGGCCGGAGGTAGCTGGAAGCTAGAAACAAAGGCGGCCTTTGTCTGGCCGTGAGTAGCTGGAAGCTAAAACAAAGGCGGCCTTTGTCTGGCCGTGAGTAGCTGGAAGCTAAAACAAAGGCGGCCTTTGTCTGGCCGTGAGTAGCGGGAAGCTAGAAGTATGGCCGGAGGTAGCTGAAAGCTAGAGACAAAGGCGGCCCTTTGTCTGGCCGGAGGTAGCTGGAAGCTAGAAACAAAGGCGGCCCTTTGACTGGCCGGAGGTAGCTGGAAGCTAAAACAAAGGCGGCCTTTGTCTGGCCGTGAGTAGCGGGAAGCTAAAACAAAGGCGGCCTTTGTCTGGCCGTGAGTAGCTGGAAGCTAGAAACAAAGGCGGCCCTTTGTCTGGCCAGAGGTAGCTGGAAGCTAGAAACAAAGGCGGCCCTTTGTCTGGCCGGAGGTGGCTGAAAGCTAGAGACAAAGGCGGCCTTTGTCTGGCCGTGAGTAGCTGGAAGCTAGAAACCAAGGCGGCCCTTTGTCTGGCCGTGAGTAGCGGGAAGCTAGAAGTCTGGCCGGAGGTAGCTGGAAGCTAGAAACAAAGGCGGCCTTTGTCTGGCCGTGAGTAGCTGGAAGCTAGAAACAAAGGCGGCCCTTTGTCTGGCCGGAGGTAGCTGGAAGCTAGAAACAAAGGCGGCCTTTGTCTGGTCGTGAGTAGCTGGAAGCTAGAAACAAAGGCGGCCCTTTGTCTGGCCGGAGGTAGCTGGAAGCTAGAAACAAAGGCGGCCTTTGTATGGCCGTGAGTAGCTGGAAGCTAGAAACAAAGGCGGCCCTTTGTCTGGCCGGAGGTAGCTGGAAGCTAGAAACAAAGGCGGCCTTTGTCTGGCCGTGAGTAGCTGGAAGCTAGAAACAAAGGCGGCCTTTGTCTGGCCGGAGGTAGCTGGAAGCTAGAAACAAAGGCGGCCTTTGTCTGGCCGTGAGTAGCTGGGAGGAGGTAGCTGGAAGCTAGAAACAAAGGCGGCCTTTGTCTGGCCGTGAGTAGCTGGAAGCTAGAAACAAAGGCAGCCCTTGTCTGGCCGGAAGTAGCTGGAAGCTAGAAACAAAGGCGGCCCTTGAAAAGTTAAAAGAGGCACCTTTGTGGGTCTAAAGCTGAACTGGTTGGAGAAGCAATGAAAGCAAAGGTATCCCTATGTCCGCCTTAGCTGCTTAGGCACGATTCTGTTCACATCCCCGGCGCCACCGCGACCTCCTCCTCCACAGCTACTTCTGCAGCACCTGTGAAACTGCAACAGCCCCTTCGACCGTTGAGACTCCAAAAATGTGGCAAGCTGAAAAAATCACATATATCACCATATGGCCATGGATCAATACCTATTGATACCATTTTTAGTGGGTTATTCACATCCATTTTAACCCAGCTATTTTGATGTGAACTACAGGGGTACTATTGGTTTTGACACACTGCCATATATATCACCACATATCTATCCAACACAAGTCATATATCTAACTTTGCGCAAACTTGACATCTACCCTTTAAAGAAGACACCAAGGCGTCGCGCGAAAAGAGATCACGGGCTCGCCTGGTCGAGTGGATTCTCCCCCGATGTCGAGGATGTGCGCTCCATCCTCGTCAAAAGCACAAAACTGGGAGGAATTCATCTGGTTGGTGGGGGCTACCTACTTGGTTAACGGTGGTTAATGATGGTTAATCATGGTTAATGGTGGTTAATGGTGATTCATGATGGTTAATGATGGTTAATGGTGGTTAATGATGGTTAATGGTGGTTAATGATGGTTGATGATGGTTGATGATGGTTGATGATGGTTCTCTGGTTGGTGGTTGACCTACCCATCTGAAAAATGATGGAGTTCGTCAGTTGGGATTACTGTTCCCAATATATGGAAAGTCATAAAATTAATGTTCCAAACCACCAACCAGTCATGAAAGTTCTGAAGATATTTCGTGGCAAATCAACCATTCCTCAGGTTGAGCCATAACTCACTAGTTGAGCCATCAGAAATACTTTATGAAAGTCGTGAAGATTCAGCCAATCATTTGAGCAGATCACATGGAATAGATTGGAAGAGTTTCTACCATGTGACGTGGTCTTGTCTCATTTTTTGTGGACCAACCTTGACACGAGTCCCACTGGGGGTGATCTCAATTTTGCTTCATGATCCCAGGGTGGTTTCAAGCCAGTTGTACCAGCCCGACCAGGAAAGTTCCACAGTTTCCTTTTAAGGCAGCCACGATTATCACAAGGTGCCTCCGTTGACGAGCACTAAGTTAACTCATAACTTGGTCAAACAGATATAAAATGATATAAATACAGTGAATAGGCTTATAAATCACTCTATATAAATTAGACTATAAATCAACCATCTAATTATAGTTGATTAACAAACATCATTATAAATCAACCAGCAACATCATTTGTCATTATAAATCCACCAACATCATAGTCACTATAAATCACTATAAATCAGACTATAATCACTATTCATCACTATTAATCACTATAAATCAGACTATAATCACTATTAATCACTATAAATCAGACTATAATCACTATTCATCACTATTAATCACTATAAATCAGACTATAATCACTATTCATCACTATTAATCACTATAAATCAGACTATAATCACTACTATTAATCACTATAAATCAGACTATAATCACTATTCATCACTATTAATCACTATAAATCAGACTATAATCACTATTCATCACTATTAATCACTATAAATCAGACTATAATCACTATTCATCACTATTAATCACTATAAATCAGACTATAATCACTATTCATCACTATTAATCACTATAAATCAGACTATAATCACTATTCATCACTATTAATCACTATAAATCAGACTATAATCACTATTCATCACTATTAATCACTATAAATCAGACTATAATCACTATTCATCACTATTAATCACTATAAATCAGACTATAATCACTATTCATCACTATTAATCACTATAAATCAGACTATAATCACTATTCATCACTATTAATCACTATAAATCAGACTATAATCACTATTCATCACTATTAATCACTATAAATCAGACTATAATCACTATTCATCACTATTAATCACTATAAATCAGACTATAATCACTATTCATCACTATTAATCACTATAAATCAGACTATAATCACTATTCATCACTATTAATCACTATAAATCAGACTATAATCACTATTCATCACTATTAATCACTATAAATCAGACTATAATCACTATTCATCACTATTAATCACTATAAATCAGACTATAATCACTATTCATCACTATTAATCACTATAAATCAGACTATAATCACTATTCATCACTATTAATCACTATAAATCAGACTATAATCACTATTCATCATTAATCACTATAAATCAGACTATAATCACTATTCATCACTATAAATCAGACTAAATCATCACTAATCACTATAAATCAGACTAATCACTATTCATCACTATTAATCACTATAAATCAGACTATAATCACTATTCATCACTATTAATCACTATAAATCAGACTATAATCACTATTCATCACTATTAATCACTATAAATCAGACTATAATCACTATTCATCACTATTAATCACTATAAATCAGACTATAATCACTATTCATCACTATTAATCACTATAAATCAGACTATAATCACTATTCATCACTATTAATCACTATAAATCAGACTATAATCACTATTCATCACTATTGGTCACTATAAATCAGACTAGTAATCCACCAAAACATCATTGAGCATAAATATGATATAAATACAGTGAATAGGCTTATAAATCACTCTATATAAATTAGACTATAAATCAACCATCTAATTATAGTTGATTAACAAACATCATTATAAATCAACCAACATCATTTGTCATTATAAATCCACCAACATCATAGTCACTATAAATCACTATAAATTAGACTATAATCACTATTCATCACTATAAATCAGACTATAATCACTATTAATCACTATAAATCAGACTATAATCACTAAAAATTAGACTATAATCACTATTAATCACTATAAATTGTGCTCGCTCTCAGCTTGTTTTCATGCCGCCAAGACGAAGGTCTTGCAAAAGAGACTCGTGTCTCGACCTGTTGAATTCAAAGATCTTTATCGTCCATGCCCTTGCAGGCAACTTTGAAACTGACTTATGTACCTTCCCCATGCAGGGAATGATTTTCTTCCAAGCAGAAGACACAAATGCACGATTTCGGAATCAGCATTTGAAGAAGTTCTTATTTCCCAGTCATTATCCTCCACTGTGGAGGGAGAGGGGGGAAACCTGAGAGCCTAAAGAGCAATGAGCAGCATTTAAACACTGAATCTCTCTCACAAACCGTTCAAGGAACTATCTTGTGCTCGCTCTCAGCTTGTTTTCATGCCGCCAAGACGAAGGTCTTGCAAAAGAGACTCGTGTCTCGACCTGTTGAATTCAAAGATCTTTATCGTCCATGCCCTTGCAGGCATCTTTGAAACTGACTTATGTACCTTCCCCATGCAGGGAATGATTTTCTTCCAAGCAGAAGACACAAATGCACGATTTCGGAATCAGCATTTGAAGAAGTTCTTATTTCCCAGTCATTATCCACGCTTCCCAACAAAGTGACCACGCTTCATTATTGAAGTGTCGCAAAATTGAATTTCAAAAGCATACGACGGGATTTTTCGGACATTTTGATGGAAGGAAGGTGAGATAACGCATCATTGATATAAAGTTTAGCAACTCGACTACTCTCCCACCTTCCACGAAGGAGCGTGGCCTCCATGGATTTGGATTGTTGAAATGTCAGAGTTGCTCCTCCTCGTCTGAGGCTGTAAGGACGAAAAAGTAAATGCTCAAGATGAAACAACTTCATCAACTGATTGAAACGCACTCGAAACTGGGCAGAAGAACCTGACCAAATTGTCCAGTGCAAGGACCTGGCTGTTCGGCGCCTGTCAACAAAACATCGCACCACTTCCAACGTTGTAATGTCTGTAATGCTTACCATTTCGTTGACACTATTTCTACGACCTGATTTGGTATCCTTCAAAGCAACAATTCCGGAACGGGCTCCCAGACTAAAATCGGAACACTGCAGTTTGAGGAGTTCTCCTGTACGGAGTAAACAGTGAAACCCAAGGAGCAAAAGGCAAGACATCTCATAATTTCCCATCTGCCACTCATACGCAGAAAGGCTGTACACGATTGGCTTTGTCAAGGGAGGAGCGCGATTCGGAATTTCAATTTTTCGCCATGTGGCGAAAAGACGCCAGGCATGTGGTACCAATCTTTTTGTCCAGGGCTGAAAAAATGACAAGCTACTAAGTCCATCCCCCACTGTGAGTGAGGGCTCTCCGTCTTTCCACATTCGACGGACCCAGCGTGACATCCAAACATCCAGCTGCTGCGGGGATTCGACCTGTTCAAAATAAGGTATCAACTTTCTAAGTGCCACATAGTATCGACTTCTGGTCTTTTCGCTCAATCCAGCGTCATCAAGATTGATTCGAGCCCGTCGCTTGGCCCGCTCTGCTCGGCTGAATCTGCCAGCGAGCAAGACATATTTCATCACAATCTTGACCCCTTATCCGTCGGGTTGTCAGAGGAGTCTACATGCCCCATGACAAGTTGTAACCCATGTGCCAACAATAAACAGTTGATTATCCGCAACACCCTGGAAAGTTGATCACTGCTGGTGCGCCCCTTTGAAATTATGCTAATGCAAACAAAAGAGTCAGAGAGTTGGACAATACGTTTATCAGCAAAACCCAGTTTCTCAATCTGATGCTTTACCCCCAATAAAATTGCACGCATCTCCAACACATTAATATGAGCCTTGAATTCCCAACGCTTTGAGAAAATGTCCTGCCAGAGCCACCATGCCGACGCTACAGATTGCCGAGGGAAAACTTTTCCCCCAATGATTTCACCTGATGCCAACCTTACGTCAGACCCTGTGTGATTAGTCTTGCGAAGTAAAAGCCTATTCAGTTTTCCCATACCATCATTGTAAACTGCCGGGGGGATTGAAAGACAACCATATTGCAAACAACGTTTCAAAGGTGCCGTGAACCGTAAAGGTGCACGGAATCCGGGCGCCAACCCCATGCGCCCAACCAAATGTCGAAAGGGGACCGTTGGCAAAAAGTGTTTGCTCAAAACCACAGCCCAAATTGCAAAAGAGATGATGCTAAAAGATTCTCCCAATCCAGTATGCCTAGCGTCATCAAATCCTTGTGGATTCTGTTTTGCCGCAGAAGCTGCCCATGCTACCTGAGTGTGTCCGAAACCGAACCCCATCAGAAGCTCTTTTTCTGAAGCGCTCAGCAACCTCCAGGTATGAGGTGTAGAGATGATAAACTCGGGCCGGTATTGATATGGCGGATATCTGAATTTGTCTTCTGTCCAGCGCTCCAACACACTGGGCGAACACCGTTCAATCCCAGCAGGTTTATAAGGAGGAGAAAGTTTCGGAACACATTTCATACATGTTGGAAACACGGCATGTTGTTGCTCCCCTTTCCATTCATGATCGGGTTCAAGCCATTGTTCAGTGAGCGGATACTCTGCCTCTGCTACAACTTCTTTCCAGTATGC